CTTCAGCAATCGCGGCTTGCAGCTTAGATTCTTCTTTTATCTGCTCAATTTCTATCATCAACTCTTTTTTGTCTGTTTTGCTTTTACAGTTCTTGTATTCTTCGCGAATCTCATTGTAAAGCATTTGAAGACTCTCTCTTGCTTCCTTCAGTTGTTTGATGCTACTTTGCAAAAGCGCGATTGTTGACCTGCATTTCTGGCAGTTTTCTTCATCTACCGTAGGGTAGCTTACTGCTTTGCTGTACTCGCTGTACCTTGATACTAGTGTCTTCAAGATGGTTGCGCTAAGAATGATGGGCGTCTTGTGGAAATGAAGTGCCATTATGATCTCAACTTAGCGATTTACGTTCAGATCTTCCGCTTAAATTGAATTGCAGCGGTCTGTCAGAGCTATTTTGCTGACTATACCCGTTTGTTTGTTATCTGGGCGACTCCTTCCCTTTTTGTTTCTTTTCGGGATGAAGATTTACGGCTTTATTTGTGCCTTATGGTTGCTTAGCAGCTAGTCTCGACTCCTGGCTAACACAGATGTCACTCTGAGATGCGGGAGTAAGTGGCAACTTCCCGGCCGATGCACCAAGCTATTGCGGGTACTAGAGACTCTTGGGCGGTTTTGCCCGTAATGCGAATACAAGTAGAAAAGACGGTGGTTCAGGTTTATTAACAAGATTACAGCGAGTAGCAAGAGCGTGTATACGAGAGCTTGGTGCAATGTACGAGTGGTAAAGGGGTGGATGTCTTGGGCCACGCCTATTCAGGCGTGACCTGGGGTCGCGGCGGGGGTAGAGGTATCATCGGGACGATGATATGTTCCCAAAAAAGAATTTGAACGTTTGTCGCAAGCAATAGGGGGAACATTGTGATTGAAATTTTTCGAGTTTTTTTCCTCATTTGAATGGGATTCTTTCTTTACAAAGTTCTGAGAATGTTTTTGGTTCTAGGTGCCAAAATGCTGCTGTTTGGAGAAGGAACAACGCTTAAGCAGATTGCATAGGCAAGTTTCGGTTTTGGCTCCAAGCACTTTGTACATATGGGAGTTCTATTTCTCTTGAATATGTCTTTACTTCATTCTCAATATCTACCCGTTTATTCTAATAGATTGGTGTTAGTGGAAAACTCAAAGGAGAAACTGTTCTAGACGTTGCGGAATGCGCGTCCGCCGTGATTACTCCCGGCGCACCAAAAATAATATATTTCACGCCTAATCTCGCTATCTCGGATTTCGCACATTGCACACACATTCGCCACTGCTTCCCCTTTTATGCGCTATTGGTGAGTTCTTCAACTTTTTTGGTTTTGTTTTCGTTTCTTTATGCATAATAAGCAAACCAGACAGAATCCTGTCTGGATTTTGCTCTTTTTTATCATTTGGTCGCAGGCTGTGCCTGCTTTTTCACCAAAATGAGATTTTATGATTTTGTTGATTATTGATTTTTTGATTGATACCTCCTTGCTTTTGTGTGATGTCATATTCTCATAGAAATGTGTCTCACACACATTGTAGAGGACGATCATTCTTCTTCAACAAGTTGATGATGTATCTGTTTGCAATTATTTCAAACATAGTTTCCAAACACAATTTCCATCTTCTTCAATCGGTTGCGGACAAAAATAAACACCCGCCTTCAAAATCAAATTCGCTGACAAGGGCGTGCAAAAGCACAAAAAAATACGTTAGGTGACAGAAACTGATAAAGAAACACGCACGGACTCAAATTCGGAGAAGAAATGCACGAAAATGAGTGAAAGGAGTCACTCCCAGAAGGCGCCAGGAGGCATATCACATATGCGTCAGCACGCTGCTACTGATCCCCAAACAGGCAGTCCGGGCTCTTGCCCGAGTACCATCCCAGAATGGTGCATCGCGGGTACGGGCGCCCGTGCCCGGTCGGGCAACGACCCAGACGGGAACCCCTTCCCGAGTGGGAGATTGATACATACCGGCCCTGGATAGCCACCTGAGGTGACTTAGGAAAGAAAAAGTCATAAATTTTTCCTCCCTCACATAATTTTTCTACATTCTTTACATACTTTTCATCTACATCCCAAACCCTACAAACTGGTTCCTAAACCGCCTCAAACCCCCTTCTCCACGCTTAGTTATAGCCCCTTGAAAATTTTGAATGGCCGCGGAAAGGCTGCTCTAGGCGCGTACTGCTGCACGATGGATACATTAAGCCGCCATTCCGGAGAATATGAATTTCATCGCATGTGTTCGATGATTCTTTTTCGTTTTTTTTCTGCTGTTGCTTTGTTCCGTTCCTTTTCATGTATTTTCTCTTCGAATATCTCGTGGCGGATGTCGTAATTTTATTGAAGTCAAAGGGGACTTCAATTTTGCAATTTCGGGACGCCACCTCGTGCCGAGCCCTGGTCTAGGGTCAAAGGGGACTTCGTAAAAATTCGCAAAAGTCAAGGAGGACTTCGTTTTTTGCATTTTCAACTAGCCACCTCGTGCCGAGCCCTGGGAAAGACACTTCTCGTCAAAGCTTTAGTCAGCAATGTACGCAAAGGGATGCTGTGCATTATGCTATCTATATGGCACAGAAACCTTCTCATTTTTGAGAAAACTATGCGATTTTTATGAAGTCACCTGCATGTACATGACTCTTCTTTGCTTTCATCTTCTCCGAAGTAGGTTTCCGGTAGGGATCAAAGGAAATCTCGTAAACTTTCGAAAGTTAGGGGGACTTCGTTTTCAAACCCTAGAAGCCGACTCGTGCCAGTCGGGGTCACCACAAAGCCGCAATAAGTCGAGGTAAGCTTAAAGGGAGTGGACAGGCAGAATGGACCCCTGTCAGATTTTGGTAGCTTCGGGTAGTAGACCTCCCAAGTACATCATAGCCCCAAGCCCACCTTCCAATTCATGCGCTAAGTCTTGAAAAAAGCACTTCAAAACTCCACCAGCCCCGCCCACTTCCACTGAGTGGGCGTTATTGGTGGAATTTCGAAGCGCTTTTTCAGGACTTAGCGCATGAATTGGAAGGTGGGCTTGGGGCTATGATGTACTTGGGGGGTCTACTACCCGAAACTACCAAAATCTGACAGGGGTCCATTCTGCCTGTCCACTGCCCTTAAACACTTATTGGAAAATCCTTGGGGTTTGTGAGAGCAAATCAAATATTAAACTTCGGTGAAAAAGCTTCTTCGCACTCAAAGTTGAGGTCAGGCACAATCCCACAAAAAGTCTGCTTTTGTAGCCTGACTTCCTTAACCTTATCATTAGAATTCAATAATCGCTACATTTCTAGTGCTGTTTGAGCCATAGCCTCTTCTTGCTATTACGGAAACTTGAAGTCAAACACCCCACCTCTGGGAAAATTGTGACTCTTAGGGCCGCATGCATCAACATCCCCGCCGGGGAGGGGTCACAGCTTCAAAAGAAAGCTTCATATCCTGAAGCTTCAGATATCTAAATTTCACGTTATCTACCTATCCATAGGTACTCCCATCATCCTTCACTATGAACATCTTGAGCGGGAGCAAGAAGCTGTACAGCCGCATTTTCCAGCCTTTTGTATGATCCCCTGACGATCCCCCGCGACCAGACGTGTTTTCTTCAAAGTAATTTTTCTTCTTTCAAAGTTAACGAAAACCTTTCGAAGTTGTACTAATTATCTAACTAAACAGTGCTAACGAGGGAATGGTCAGAAGTCGAAGTGGCCAAACCAAACAAGCTGTATACCATTGGATGCAGCATAAAACGCTGACTTCGAATCTATCTTCCTTATCTGCTTATCGCTTTTGTGGACGAAGCTATAAGCAGTTTTATTGCGATAAAACTTGCATAAAAATGGCGAAATTAAGCATGCAATTGTTCTCTCAGCTTATGTTTAGGTATGGGCTATACGAAGTAACCTAGCTGCATGTTTCTCCTCACAGCATTAGCCGAGAGTGGCTCTGTACCGCCAAATTTTCACTCTTACGCATAATTTCATAGCAGGATAATGGTCTTTAATTGCTTATAACTTCGTCTACAAAAGCGATAAGCAGATAAGTAAGACAGAATTGATGTCAGCAATTTATGCTGCATTCAATGGTATGCAGCCTGTTTTGACTGGCCACTTCAGTTTCTGACCATTCCCTTGTAAGCAAATTGCTGATAAGAACAAATGAGTTTTTGGAATATCAATTTTTTCGATGAACCCCAATTTTCAACTTGTGGTTCATCGCAAATTTCATGACTTCGAAGCACCACTTGTTCTTACCAGAAACATGATTAGCATTGTCAAGTTGGATACGCACAACTTTGGAATGTTTTTATTGACTTCGAAAAAAGAAAAATGACTCAAAAAGACGTTCGGTCGCTGGGGATCATCAGGGATCAAACAAAAAGCTGGAAAATGCGGCTTGAACAGCTTCTTGCTCCCATTCAATATGTTCATAGTGAAGGATGGTGGGAATACTCACGAGTAGGTAGACGGTGAAATTCAGATATCTGGAGCTTCAGAATAGGAATCTTTCTTCTGAAGCTGCGATCCCCTCCGGGCAGGGATGTTAGTCATGCGGCCCTTAGACCCAATTAGATCAAAATCCGCCGTCAAATGATGTAGGCTTGTAAAAATGCAGTCATAAAAAAACCAGGCTTTTAGACTTCACGACTACAGAAACTCTCTAGAACAGAATACTGTCGTCCTCAACGACGTGCCAATTTTTTTGGCACGTAACAGGATGTTCACAATGCTTCCTGTGAGGTTGTAACTAAAAGCATTTTAAGTATAGAAGCAATGACCTTTCGAAAATATGGGTCCGGACAATGTTACAGAAGTCAAAAGTCGGAAACATTTAAATGCCAGCTCACACAAGAACTGGTCAGCAGATTCATACCAGCTCAGTCAGTCAAACAGGAGCTTCCTCTGAGTTATAAAGGCTCAAGCAGCACTTAGTAATGAATTCCAGATTTTACAACTTTGGTCATTAATCCTGCTTATAGTTGCTTCTTTCGTGTCAGCGCTAAAGTCTTCAAAAATTAACAATTTGCGGCAGAAGAATATTTTCATAAATGCATCTTTACTGTTGGCACCACAATGGCAACGCCGTTGGAGAAATCGGCAAGAAGAAGATGACCGTATACATTTGTACGCAAGGTGCTTGGAAAGATTCAAATTACTAACACATGTTCACGAAAAAGGAATTGACAACATGTAAAAATTGGGAAATGCGCAAACCCGTTAAAGCACCAAGTACATGATAATTATTCATAACAAACTGTCACAATAAGATAAATTTCAGACTAGTTGGTGTTGTTCGGTAATTTGGAACACATCGTCATCGCTCTTCCCATTTCGCTTCTTAGGAGTGGTGAAGGACACATCTGAAAGTACTACCATTTTACTTTGAGAGATTGGCTAATACACCTATTTCTTATAATTATAAGTTGTTCTTACATCTTTGCCTGTTTGCGTCGAGAGTTTCATGTAGAGGAAGGACCAGAGTCTCGGTGGAACGACGAATTGGCGTTCGCAAAACCTAGAAGGGTTTTATCTCCGCAAAACAATAATTGATCTTTATGTGGTGAATTAGCAAATGTACAAAATCCACATACCCCGCCGGCCTCATCTTTTTTCTGTATGTCTGACAATTCAACGCTTCGTTCACCCTCGCTTTCGCTTTCAGATATGTGACGAGATTTTCGACGTACGCTTCTCCACATGCCAAAACCGCTGATCGACCTTGTGCGAGGTGAGGATCCAACCTAGAAATTTTTTAGCAGAAAATTGATGGTACCTCGTCACTGTCAAAATCAAGTAGGAATCAGTTATATAGAATGAGTGTAATACATTGCAAATAATTTCTTCATATCTCCAAGCAAAGTTCAGTGAACATGAAGGGCCAAAAGTCGCTCGGCACAGCCCGCACCGGGTCAAGCGATATCGTTTTTGGGACAAAAAGCAGAAGGATATCGTTTTTGTAATCGAAAAGACACAAAAATCGCGATGTTTCTCCAATCGACGTTTCGTTTTTTAGAGTTTTTACGTTTAGGGTTTTAGGGTCAAAGCGGACTTCGTACGAAATTTTCAAGATCAAAGGGACTTCATATTTCCCTGGTGCCAACTGATGTTTCATTATGCCTTTTCTCAGTTCCAGCAAAAAATTCGAAATCGCGTAAATTTTGTGTGCGAAAGGCATTTTATTTGCCCGTTTCTCAAAATATTTGTTTGAACCTATTACATTGAAATAGTAAGGTGCTGGAATGAGCAATAGAAAATTTCGGTCGCCTTCGCTCAAATTTTCGTCCAGCATTAGGTATCACTCCAAAGAGCACAATGAGAATTGTAATTTGAATTCTGTTTGAGTGAAATTTGTTTTATAATAAAAGAAAGGAGAAGAAGTGAAGGAGTGAAACATTGCAATTTTTTCATTGTGGGCAAATTTGAGAAAACCTCGTTTTTTTATCAGAGAATTTCAAATTTCTCAAATTCCAGAAAAATGGAAGTTATAGAGATTTCTATGCCACGAACTTATTTTCTAAACAAGCTAATAGATTTTGTAAAGAGACAATATAGCGACTCATACAGCTTGATTTTATAGCGATGCTATCGTTTTACCTTGCTAAGGGGTACACTCGGACTTTTTGTAACTCTAGCGCTTGTAGACGGTTGTTGCCCAGATTCAGCGCTCTCGTCTTCGACATCTTCAAGGATCGTCCCTTCGGTACCTTCCTAAAAGTAGTAAATTGAAATCCACCATCTTTGTTGCCTACAGTGGTGTTAGACCTTGATCGGAGGAGGTTTTCGAGTGCTTGCCCTTCTATCCTTCTTCTGGATGGTAGACGCGTTTGAAGAATCGGAATGGGGATCAGGAGCAGTGGGAGTGTAAGAGCGAGGGAGATCCAAAGGCCGGGTAGCTAGTTCATCTTTGAGTTGCGCCAGCTCAACTTGGCAACTGATAAAATCTTTATAAAAAAAGCAACTGGTGGAAAAAGGAGTCCCACTTGTTCAACATCGCCCCTAAGGGGAGGGTGTAATGCTCATTCGATTCCATTCTTTCGATAAGTTCAGCTTGCCATTGTGTATCCTGTTCACAAGTTGGTTTTTGCTTCACCTGCAAATAAGCTTAGCCGTGTTAGTTCCCCCATTGAAAATTAGGAACCAACCCTGTTTTGGATAGTGGGTATGATGAGCAAAGAGATGGGAAGTTGGGCATGAAGAATGAAATCGATGAATTGTACCGCACTTTGACCACCTTGCTTTTTGCTTATGAGATCTAAAATGTTGAAACTTCAGCGCTAAACACTTGTTAGCGAGTCTGAGCTTTGAGAGCGGTGAATATTGGTAACAAACTTGGGGATAACATCATCTTGTTCAAAAGTTGACATTTTCCATTATTGAAATTCAAGAAAATTTTAGAAAAGTTTCGGTATAATGATTGTTATTATAGAGTATGACAAAAAACCAAATTTTTTGATGGAATGAAACGCAAGAAAGTAATCCGGTTTTGGATTCTAATCCGGTTTTTCTAAGTTGCCAGACACTAACTGAGTCTAACAATATTTTTCAAATTACTACTCATGTTACAGGATCCAACCATGATTTAATTATTGAAAAGCGCTGAACGATCAATTTATGATGGTAGGAGCTGACAACTGCTTCTCTTAAGATCTCTCTTAGGATCTCTCTTCTCTTAAGATTCTCTTAAGATTCCCCGATAATACTTACTCAAATTTTTGCAGAATTTTGTAATCACCAAAACGGAATTCCTAGCCAGCTTCATTTACCTGGGCACTAATGCTTTCGAAGTTTAGAAAAGCAGCTTGGTGCACCTCTTTCCGATAGAAACAGTTCTGACTAACCTCTCACAAGTCGGGCAACCCTTGGCCAGAGAGGAGTGAGCAGCTTTCCAAAGCATAGCATCATCACTTTGAGAGCTAAAGTGATCTTTTTGTCAATGTCAGTTCTTACAATTTGGCAGTTAGACATACCTAGGTAAATGCATTGAGATACACTGTCTCTGACTATCCGAAGCGTAGAAACGGTGGCAGAATGTCCCCTGTCGGTGACAGAAACTGAGCCTTGCCTTCCAGTGAGATCTGCAAAGTAATAAAATGTCTAGCCTGCAGCAGGAAACCATTTCTTGGCGGAACCACTAACTTTCAGAGTTGCGTTGGTCTCTTTTAATGGACATGCTGTGCTGACCTCCTCTAATAAAGCTGGTAGCAAGGGTAGTTGTGCTGGCCGTAGGGGCTGTGCTGTGTTTGCCGATTGGAGGCGAGATCGCATGTTGCATGAGGGATAGACAGAAGGAGAGATCTTTAGCTTGGATTACGGAAGCTTCTGAAATGAGTCGTTCGGTTTTGGTATGTTTAGAAGAGGATTTTATTTAGCAATGAAACCTCATAAAAGCGGTACATATTTGATGGTGATGATCGTAAAATTTTCAAGAGAAGTAAGAGGGAAGCACGAAAATTCTGATGGGTGTGATACCAGCCATGCTTCCAAAAACTTTATGGGATGCTTCAGATGTTTTACAAGCTTGACACATTAAAAAATTAAGTATGTGGCCGCAATCACCCAAAAAAAATTTTTTCTCAAAGCTTGTTTGTCCACGAAAAAAATATTTCGACACTGGTCTGAGTTACTTGCATAATTTTATAACCCGTTCAGATCACTTCTGAAAATTTTGCAAACTATTCTCGGGACGGGGAGGGGGGATGCTTTGAAATGCTCTGAGATTTCATGGATATCAGGATACCTTTAGGATTAGTCGCCGTCCTCAGGAACAAAGGTATCAAGAAATGGCAGAGAACGGCCTCGATCCGATCTGCGGCTGCTCCGAGACCCTCAGCTCCGCAAACCATTTCCAGAGAGAACGATGCCTAAATCAACCGTTGAGATAATGAAGACAAAAATTATGAAATGATTGATCACCTGGCCCAGCGCCTGCATGAGTATTGTTGTCATACGCAAAACAGCATTACAGAACACTTGCGGTGGCGGAGCTGGATGAAGAACTGTGGTTGAATGGGCAGATATGTTGCTTCCTTCTTCAAATGTGTCACCAGCTATTATTCGTAGACACATTTGTGTAGTGGACTAAAATAAGAGTTGATAAGTCTGTCTCCCGATGCTTGGATGGTTTTTGGACTTCCAAGAGTGCTTACGAGAACTTTTACTATAGATTGAGTTTGCAAATTTTGCAAATAAACAGTGGAGAAAACCAAAAAAATTTATATAGTAGAGTGGGCCACTGTATAGAAATTTTTAGCGACAGTTTTGGAGAATTTTAGCATCTGACTAATTGAGGTTTTTGAAAAAAAATTTTGATGTTGCCCTCGCAGAGCACTTACCTTCAACGGATTCAAATGAGCCATGTACGGATAAACAGAGAGTGTGTCGCAGATTCCCTTGATCCAACTGGCCAACGCTGTCCAATTCACCCGTCTCCGAATGCTTTGCTTCTTGGCGATCTTCGCTATGGTTTTGTCCAAACGCTTGAGAATGATTCCAAGGGCTGAGCGATTTGACTCGATAGACCAGTCGGTTACAGGCATAATCGTGGTGAAATACCTGAAAATTGGATCAGTTAATCACTATCACGTGGATCGCTCGCATATTCATACTTTTGCAACCCAGGGCAAGACATAGTGGTCAGGTCATAGGAGGCGATCTTCAACAATGCTAAAGCAATCTCGCTCAGCTTAACATGGCATTTGTGGTCCATCACTTCGGGGATTTTCGTATGCTCGCTGGTAGAGCTAAGCTTTGCCAATTCTTTGAGCCTGTAAGAAGAATTTCGCTATGACATTTAATTCTAGGAAAAGTATGCGAAACCTTGGAGTAGCCATCTCAATGAACTGCGCTGCCAGGCAAAGCAGGGTGTCCCTCGGCCGACGATAATTTTCTTTGTGGGTTTCCTCAATCTCTGCCGCTTCCCATCCTATGGCAACCGATTTCTTCTCCTTCCTGAACCAACATATGGAGCTTCAGTTTGTGATTTGAGAGGAAGGACTTACACGTGATACGGCCGGCTATTCTCATCCTCGTTCGTGGTAGGTGGATCAAAAAATTGAGGCGAATCAGCGACCAACGATTTTCCACGCTCAGAGACGGTATTTACGAGGTCAAACGCACGTTGTGGACCTCTGAAAAAAAAGCTAGGTGCCTTCTACTGTTCCCTTTCTTTTCAATTTTGGTATTTTTGATAACACCACACTGGTAATCAATATGAGCTGTTTCAAATCTCCGCTGCTTGTAAAATTATTGAAGACGAAATCTTCTGGGAGTGAAAGTGAGCCGCATTCACAAACGATCTGCTCAGGACCATTTGCTAGATGTCAGTAAATTCAGTGCACTACCAAAATTTTTTTGTGGCTAGAGAAATCATTCTAATGAGTTCAACCGAGTACGATTCTCGTTTAGAAAACATCTTTACCTGGCCAAAACATCGCAGCTGTTGATAAGTGCTTTCATCTCAACACACAGCGTCGTCCACTGCGATATCTCGTGCTTTACCGCAGCTGGAGCGTTGTTTTGCAATGCTGTTTCCTCCTCGATTCGTCGTATGAGGTGAGGTTGGAGCGCAGCCATTACTAGCTAAATAGATATCCTGTTCATATGAAGGAATTGCTTGGAGAAACTCTGCAATTTCCCTACGAATCAGTCATAGGGATCGCCATTTTGAATGTCAGAATTTTCAGCGGTGATTTTAGATTCTTGACGTTTGAAATGTTAGGGTGAAGGAAAAGATCTGCGATAAGTTTCTGCAGAAATACATAGAGCCGGACCTAAAAATCTATTGTTAGCTGCCCAGAGTGTGGCTGGTAGTCGAGTCTCACAAGATTTTGGTACTATAATATTCGCGCATCTGCAGATGAAACTTCTACTCCGTAACCTAAAGTTCCACAGAGTTCGTTGCGAGCTTAGATGTAAACCGCAGAAAAGTCAAATCGAAATCTTGAATTTTTAGCACGTGAAAAGGGGTCCTTTACATTTGAAAAGTGGCAATTACATGGACCGAAACCCGAAACATGAGATAGAAGTGTGTAATTTTCCAGGTTGAAAACATCTGAACATTTCTGATCGTCGGTCCACGAAAACGTACAAGCATATGGTGACTTCGTTTGCTCTCCGGAGCAAAAGCACAGACGCAAATGCAGCTTGCAATGGCATCTGTCAGCAGGCAAAATGTGTTCGGATCATCACGATAGCACAAGTCGAGGGCCTAAAAATGACGACTAAGCCACGTGTAGCATCTCCAAAGCGAAAAAAAACAACCTTTAGCGGTTTATCGTAAGGCACAAGCCCCAGAATGTCGAACTGATCACTCTCGTCACCCATGTTCTCCATATTTTTTAGCAACGCGAACCAGTACTGAAGATCGGTTCTTTTGTATTTTCGCATAATTTATTGTTCAAAAACTCACTTTAGCTTTGACACGCATTGGATTGATCTCGAAATCGTTGTTGCTGTTGTCGATTATGTTGGCTATAGAGCCACACATTTGCAGCAAGAAAGGTTTCCTATGAAGAGTGTAGAACTGTCGACAAAGGAACTCCACGACTGAGCAAAACACGCGATTCGTCTGTCGCTGACTATAGCATCGCAGGAGGGTTGGCATAATGAGGAAGAAACCCTGAAAACTGTGCCATGAGGATGGTTGGTAGTAGGATAGGCAAGCCAAGAAACTGACCTGACTAGCGAAGAGACTGTTGAAATGGATACACATGGCTATGTAAGTGGCAGCACATCGTCGTAAAATTAGCAGATCTTCACAGTGCATGATCATGATCCCATTCACCTACAACATTGCATTTTTTCGAGCACACGCCTATTTATTTTATTGAGACGTGTAAAACAAACAAAAAAAAACAAATGAACTTATTATTATTCGTTATTTTTAACGAAATTATATTTTCGAACTCATTGTTCTGTGGCCAAATTCACCAATAAGTCTCTAATCCAGGGCTCGGCACAGGTGGCTTGCAAAGCAAGCTGGATATCGTTTTTGGGGGAAAAGCAAAGGGGAAATCGTTTTTGCGGGAGGGCATAACGTTGTCTTTCGATCCGCTGCCGGCACGCTGCCGGCATGCCGCCAGCAAATAAACAAAGGGTTTGTTTACAGCGAAGTGAAGATGAAATGGCACCAAAATAGGTGTGTAGATGGGCAATGGGGAGTTGGGACTATGTATGAAAAATTATGAAAAAATTATGTGAACTGAGGGCATGGCAAACTTTTTTCGAAGTTAGGTGGCTTTCAAGCCACCTGGATAGCCATCTGAGGTGGCTTAGCGCGAACAAAGTCATATAATTCCTATTCTTCACATAATTTCTTCAAATTTTTTACATAAATGTAATCTACATTCAATATTCTACAAAACAGCTCTTGTACCTCCCCAAACCATCTCCTCCCCGCCTGGTTATAGCCCTCCAAATTATCTGGATGGCAGCGGCAAAGCTGCTCCAAGCTCGCGGTGGTGCGCGGCGGACACAGTATGCCGCCAACCCGGAGAATACAAACAATCACTAGTTCTTATTGTCTATTTATTGTTGGTCTTGTATTCTTTTTCATTCTTTTTGTTTTCATGTTTGATTTGTTCGTTAGCGCGTCAAGGGGGATGTCGTACTTTTGTGGCGAAGTCAAGGGGGACTTCCTTTTTTGCATTTCCAACTAGCCACCTCGTGCCGAGCCCTGCTCTGATCAATGCGCTTACTTGGAGTACATGCTTGACAGACAATTTTCTAAGGGTTTTGATGAATGTGGGATATATTAGTGAGATTGTTCAATCCATCTAACAGCATGTTACCGCATGAAATTTTTGGTGCCACTTTTTCTTCATTTCAGTGAAAGACGAGAACTGTGCGGAGAAAAGGTACATTTTCAACGCTTTTTCATGGGCTGTAGAATTCTGAAGACGATTACTTCCCGCATATACTCGTTTTTAATTATCTGAAGATCACAAAAGCTATGTACGACAACACCTCCTCCCCCCCCCCATCTTCTCAGCAACAAACCAGAGATTGCAAATAGAAAAGCTTTCAATGTTGACGAACAGCATGGCTAGTGTTAGATATATTTGTCAAGATTCCGTAATGTCCCAGTCCTTTAGAAAAATCCTCTGACACCTCCACTGCTCGGTCCTTTCAACGCTGGTGATTAACTAGCAAGACTGTCACTTACCACATTTATGAAGAGGTGCAGATCGGCAAACATAAACGCGTTCTCCATCTTCTCGAACATATCCGACATCAACTGAAAGTAAGAATTTTCCCGCTGTTTCGTTAATACTATAGTAGAAAGAACAATTACGCATTGATTTGAAAGGGCTACGTGTGGTGTGGTGAATTAGATGAGCTTACCTTAGCCCATGTAAACTTGTGCAAAGCTTCCATTGCCTTTAACTGCTCGCCCATTTCTCCGTGGTACATTCCAAAGCATGTTTCTAGGCTCTTACGTGGGAAAGATGGCAAGTGTGTAAGCTCATCGTGCAAGAAGAAAACGCGTTGTGCAATCTGGAAAAGGCATATTCTGAATGGGGCCTAAAGTATGAGTAGTCCTAAGTTCTAGATAGATTTTATAACTCACAACATGTTGCGGACTGTACTTCAGAATGTTATGTGTGAGCAGCACTTTTCCAACTTCGATAAAGCGCTGTGCAAACGCTGTCTGCCTCATTCTCAAGTGGGCCTCTACCAAATCGAGTTTGATCAGGGTTAGCTGTGGATAGAATGAGCGATGGAAGAAGTAGAAATCCCTGGAACTGTCTACTTTTCTATGTACATAAACGTGTGTCAAGGCTCGAAATAGCTTCAGGCATTTTCGCAGCGCAAGGAAAGTAGTGAGGCCTTTGCGAGAATTCTTTATATTGCCATCAATCTTATCTTTTCAAAAACATATCGCGCTTCAGAACTAAGCCTGGATTTTGTTGAAGATTTCCTGGATAGTCAGTTAGCAGAAAAACGTCGAACTAGTTGCAAGACCGCGACTGTGAACTAAGAGCTCAGAAAGAGTGAATTATGAGAATGAAGTCATCTGGATCAAAAAAGGACATCTAGTAGGGGCAGATTTTTCTTTCGGTTATTTCGAGGCTTAGAAGTGTAGAATATATTAAATTCACCATCTGCAAAATATAATCTCCCTATCAGTTGCTTTTTATCGGGCCAATGTTACTTTTTAGATGATACTTCCAATACTTCCAACGCACCGTACATATGACGATGGAAGATGAATTAGTCCTGTCTTTGTATCTGTCAGAAAGTACGAATGCACCTCATTTTCGTCAATGTTGAAGAACTCAAGGCTGTCACTGTAACGAAAGATTTTGGTGAGAGGCGCTTAAACTGATCTGTGAGATTGTACCTAAGTATCTGCTGGAATTGGGTGTCCTCATGAACGGGAAATTGGCTGGGGATGCCACCCAAAGTCGAGTCAGGACCATGTACAATAATTTTCTTTGCTGATGGAACATTTGCAGTGATCATGAGGGCTTGCTGGAAGTGTTTTCTTGCAATTAGTTGCCTCAACAAAAGATTTTCTCAACAAACATCGCACTGCTCCTTCTTCAGTGTCTGCTTCAGGTCCTTGAAATAGAGCCCGTGCACATTGGGAGCCAAAATCCAAGTGAGGGACAGAGCCATACCAAGGGCTTTGTCAGCACCTTCGCACTGAGCTCGCACGTAGTGCATGACAAATCCAAACTGTATTGGAAATTGTAAGGCTTTCGTACATGCAGAAGCTTGGGTGCTCACCAAATAATTGAGCAAGGAGTACGCTGCTTGGCTAGGTAAAGGGTTGAACCGTAAGATCAACTTGCGCAGCAGCGACATGAGGTATTCCTACAAAAAATAACCCTAGAAAGTACGAAGAAAAAGCGATAGATAATTTTCAAAAATTTCCGAGCTGTCGATGTTGTGTATGTCATAAACTCACATAGCTGGCAGTGGGGCGATATTCATTTGTAAGAGTCTGAAAGAAAGACAGAGATAGTCATGAAAGAGAAAGATTTGTAGAACGCAACAACGCAGCAGGCAGGATGCGGCGAAACATAGAAACGATAAGGGAAAAAAGAAAATAAAAGAGCATGCAAGTAAAGGGTAAGACGATGAACATTCTGTTAGAAAACCAGGTCCAGGTGTGAGAACAGCAATCCGTAGCGTTTGTGCTGTGCAATATCCTTCTCTGAACTTATGCATGCGAAAAAAAGACGACATCAGAGTTTGACATTTAAAAAATGTAAAAGAAACAGAAGGAAATAATAGGAAAACCCGTGCAATCATGCCAACCTATTTCTTATATCACCCCACTACAACGGTCATAACATGTGCGCTATCCACCTGAAATATCTCACCTGTCGCTCGCGATTTGTTAATTTTTCTAGAAAATGTCTGAAGAAGAGCGATGGATCTTCTACTATGCAGGTCCAGATGACCTTGCGTGATACATCAGCCACTGAAAATCATTTGAAATTCCAGAACATTTCCCCATTTGGAGTGGACCCACCAGAAACACCATTTTTGTCGACTTGGGGATCGTCGAGCATTTCGATAATGCTGGGAATAACAGCTAAAAGAGGTGAAGGAAAGAGCGGTTGGGCGACGGGCATAGGGTGACGGGCAGCATGGTGGGCCGTTTCGGATTCTGCAGGTTGAGGTAGTAGATCTAGGGAGGTCGACGAAAAGAAACCATGTAACTACCTACCTTCCGCTTGTTCTTGCTGATGATGGAATAGCGCTGGTTCGTAGGCTGCTTGCTGAACTATGGCGGATCCGCGCAGCCTTAATACAATAGTCTCTTAGTAGATCATTTCTGAGTGTCGACTATCTAGGCGATCATTCGGCCTTCACAATGGATAGTAAGATTTAGATGGCATCACATCACATAAATTCTTATGCTTTTGTCCCATTGTTTATTAGACATTTTTAGCCGGACATACGAATCAAATAGTCATAAGGATACCCTAATTTAACGAGTACCGCACTTTTTCATTTTTTCAAGCATGCAGCTTGGCCGCACTTTTTGTCTCGCGGAATGGTAGTTCTTCCACAATTTTTGGGAGCTTTTTTGGTGCGTTCAGCCTGGTCGAGTTTTGAAAAAAAACAGGTGCTTCTTGTACTCGTGAATAGCGTGATACGAACATTCTAATGGTCGCCAACCTTCCGTAAAATGACATCGCCATGAAATTCACTTTCGAAATTTGTTTAAATTGCCTTCTTACTACTATTTTACCACAATTTTGATCAATAGGATGGACTCGTTTCAAATTGTGTAAAATTTCAGATTTCAATGCCAAAACTAGCATTCCAGGGGCCCCTAAAATATCGGGAGAACCAGCCATCGGTTGTTCAATTTTGTCAAGCGCATTTTCTCATGAGCTGTATATCTCATATTGCGTATGCAACTGAATTGCAGTAAAAGATAATCTGGGTTTAAATATCTTTGAATTTGTTGTTGAACGGTGGCCAAGATTGGTATAGTGACAGTTTATTACTTGGCTAACGTTTCGGCGCCGGAACGTTAGCCAAGTAATAAACTGTCACTATACCAATCTTGGCCACCGTTTAACAACAAATTCAAAGATATTCAAATCATGCCAAGATTCATAGAAGGTCGAACCTGGAGGTTATAATCTGGGTTGCTCAAAAAATAGATCTTTGCTCAACTCTACATGCACACTTTATCCGCAAGAATATACTAATCACTTACTTGAACAATTGTCTTTGTTCACATTGCCTTTCTTCCGCATCTCGTACTGCCCTCTTCACCATCTCCTGTTTTTGTTTCCGCCGTGTTCGTGTCATCGTCATGATCGTTTGAGACTACAAAAACTTAGTGAGTCAACAATCTATAGAAATAGGTTTATCCGTTTATAGGACGGAGAGTGATATAAAATAAAGTAAGCGAACTACTATGTTACATTCACACTGTCCAAGGTGATGGGCCCTATTTTACGGTAGGTATTGGTAAGCGAAAGAGTAAACAGAACATAAGCCTTAGCGACCCTCCCTCCCACTTTTTATTCTAAACTCGACATTCTGCTCTCAATGCTTAATGATGTCTGACTGCATACCGTAGCATGCTCTTCTTCCTTCAGCGAAAGCTCCTCTATCTTCGTTTTTAGGTGTGGCATCCAGGGAGGATCTACTACTGGCAGCTGACTTTGCCCAATGGCTGGCGATGGTAAAGTGAAATCGATGCCAGGCGGTGGTACCTGTAAGTGCTTTTTCGCTAAAAATTACTATATCAGCAAGTGTGACTTATATTTGCCTTGAATGAGCTTTGAGCTCCTTCTTCCATCTTCAGCCAAACATGAAATCGGTTTCTCCACAGGGCATAAAATCTGGAGGAATCAAGTAATGCCTTTGCGAAAGATTTTTGAATCAAGGTTACCTTTGAATCCCTTCCGTTCGATCAGTGGCATTCGTTGACTCGAGAGCTTTCTTGATCACTCTAAGTGCATCTTCTGCCCGACGTACACAAGTAACAATGAACATTGAAGCTAAGCAGATTTACTTTATCATACTTGCTTAGTGTGAAGATTTCAACCCTTGATAGAAATTAGGCCAAGCTTACCGGCGCTGAGCACGACATGTGGATCTTCATTGAGTAGCAGATACCATGAGACCTCAATCATCTGCTTGTATTGCTCAGGAGTAAGCAGTAGAGAGCTTTTCAATGCTGCCGACAAAGGGGTGTGCATCAGATTGAGCACCTAAACAACGAGCCTCACATAGTTCTTCGACTGCGCTTGAAATTGATGACTACCAATGTCCGAATGTAGCTGAGCATTTCCTTATTGACGTCATCCTCAGGTTCATCTACACTTGTTTCTGATTGGCGCTCTTGCTCCTAAATTTGACGCACATGATAACAAAAAAATCTTACAAAATCACTTTAAAATGTAAGTATGAGATCTTCAAGAGGAAAGAAAATCGTCAAAGTCATCAGATTCATTGTTTACACCTTTGCACCGAAGTTTTACTGAAAAATATGTTTTGATTGGTGGCTAAGTTTATCCGGTTGCAGAAGAAAAATTCAACAACCCATGTGGTTTTCCTAAAATTTGACTTGGGTTTTATGTTCGGTCTGAAGAACGTCAGCAAAGTTTTTTGGTCAGGGCATATCGCACAAAATTCTATGAGAAACTCTTCGGTTTTCGAAAGATCCGAAAGACCTCAGGACTTTTTTTCCTCAGTCGACCAACATCTAAACCCAAAAAATCACCTTTGGGTTTATATAATTCATTTTTAGAGCTTTGGCAACCCATTTGTGAAGGTGTTTCAAAACTTTATGGAATTGTTTCCTATGATCGAAGACGAAAAGTCATATAATGGATGGGTCATTTTTACAGACAGTTGACGAAATTACGAGCCAATTTTCGTGACCCAAGCTCTTGTTATGATTAATTTTCCATTCGATCACTCCTATCGCTTCCAGTCCAGTTAGCAGTAAATGGCAAGCAGTTTTACTCTTTTGTTTTTTTTGAGCGTAAATAATCCTCTAACAACTCACCACGCTTGCCTTCTTGTGAACTCCTTCCTCCTTTTCCTTTTCCTTCTCACGTTCCTTTTCTTGCATCATCTTTTCCATTAGCATTGCCTACAAAATTAGAATATATACGAAAGCGATGGCTGGTATATTGATTAAAAACCTTGATAGCCTTGCTACCGTACTCTGCATTGGCACCGACCATTGCGCTTTCTCGTCTTGGCACAGCGGCAGATTGTCGGGAATGAATCGACTGAAAAAAGTTATGAATAGCATGCAGAATAGGAAAATGTGCAGTTCTAAGGAGGCCATGGTCCTAGGACCATGGCAGACGTGCAGGAAACGTGCAGTTCGGTGCTCAGTTTCTTGCGCTCGAAATTGCGTTCTCTCGAGATTTTCGTGAAAGCTAACAATTTTACTTTAGCTTACTGTGAGTTGCCTTGCAATTTGCTGAGTGCCCTGGAAGAAGATGTGAGGATAGGAAAGAGAATGAAAACACTGGAAAAAAAGAGAAAATTCGGAAGGGAAAACGCTTGAATTTTCTAAACCTGACTAAGCTCGCAGATGGGGACGCTCTGAAATTTATATTAATACTAGCAACTAGTAGCTAATATCATCGCCCATGCGGGTAAAATTCATTTCATAGATGGGATTGGTACGAATATTAGCGAGCTTACTCGACGAAGTGCTTGCTGTTCTCCCTCCCATTTGTCCATCAACAACTTGCGTTTATCTACCCTCGTCTTCACTTCCCTGGAAACGGATGACCTCTTCATTTCTTACTTTTTAAGAAGTGCATTTCCTACCTGTAGGCTCCATACAGGGTAGAAAGTGCCATTACCATTCGATGGCATTGTCGGCTCACCCTCAGAAAACATCGCTGCGTACAGACTGGTTCGTGCGTACAATTCGTATCGAATGAATTGGCTGTTCGGATTATTATCTAAAAAATTCGGACTTCCAAGTCATATCTCAAATGTTGGATTTTCGTAAAACACCTTGATCCATGGCAGATGAGAGAGTATGGCTTGCTCCTCATCATCGAATTGTGCCTTGGGCGTTGGCTGCTGTCCATAAGCACTTCCTTGTTGCGAACTGCTGTGGCTCTGGAATAGCTCACTTATATGCAAGAGATATTATCCTTTTTTATGTAGAAACGATTTCTACTTTATTAGATTTCTGTAGTTTTGGCGAAAAATTAATTCATCGAGCAAATTTTTAGTAATCTCCATTTTGATTCCTCGTCTCAACTTCATTTAAACGAGCATATTCTTGATTGGAAAAATTTATGCATTTAGGTGGCAGATCCTCTTATATTTTGCGCTATCTTGATTAAGAGCAAATGAGTGTTCGGTAAAGGCTGTTAATATATTAGATTGTCCCAAAAGTTCTTGCGCCGGATTTTCAAAACACAAATTCCTTGCCACTCAATGGATTTTCTTGAATTTAATTTTTTTCAAAAGAGGAAACCTTTTTCTTTACAATAGTACCTTTGCTATGAATTGGCGTTGGAAAGTTCTAGAGCTAGAGGCAATTGAAGGAAATCAGTCAAGATTGGCATTTTTTAAGCTGGATCACGAAAAATTTTGGAAGTATTTTTATTTGATAGAGAAAATTCTGCACATTACAGCGGCACCATTCCGTGATTTGAAACGATAAAGATCGAGAGTTAGGAGCAAATAAAAGGAATTCCATCAGTTTTGCAATTTTTGAGCATGCTCAAAAAAGCCTAGACGTCACAGAAAATGCGGGAAAGCCGCAAACATGGGTTTTGTGACCTCCTCTTTCTAGCTGAGCAAGTTTCGAGCTAATCGAGAGCATTTTTTGTTTTCGTGATTTATTCGGATTTTCGGGTCTGCGTTTCTTACGAAAATCAAAATTGCTCTCGATCAGCTCAAAACTTGCTCAGCTAGAAAAACGAAATCACAAAACCCATGTTTGTGGCTTTCTGGCATTTTCTATGACGTTTCTAAGATTTTTGAGCATGCTCAAAAATTGCAAAACTGATGGAATTCTTTTTATTTGCTCCTAACTCTCGATCTTTTTTGTTTCAAATCACGGAAATGATGCCGTTGTAATGTGCAGAATTTTCTCTATCAAATAAAAATACTTCCAGAATTTTTCATGATCCAGCTTGAAAAATGCCAATCTTGACTGATTTCCTTCGATTGCCTCTAACTCTAGAACTTTCCAACGCCAATTTATAGCAAGGGTACTATTGTAAAGAGAAAGGTTTCCTCTTTCAAAGGAAATTAAAATCAAGAAAATCCATTGAGTGGCAAGGAATTTATGATTTTTTGAAAATCCAGCGCAAGAACTTTTGGGACAACCTAGTATATTACAGACAAATGATTGCAATTATGTGTTCCTCCTTTTTTGCAGACGACAGAGAGAATAGTATGTGGCCCTATTATGTAAGAAATCCCTTTTGTCGGGGAAATGAAAAAAGGAACGAGCAGCGATAAACATTGAACACTGCTTTGAGCTCAAATGACCTTAGAAAATTTTGAACTTTGGTTTTGCTGACACATTCTAATTTGTTGGAGCTTTTTTTTCTCACTTTCCTTGCTCACAAGTTTTTCAAAATTAGCAGGTGAATTTGAGATGTAATAGATAAAGGTTATTCATGAACAAGCATGATTACTACTACTACTTGCCTTTCACAATTTCTATTTTTTTTTGCACTGTTTATAGGACTTTTTTGAGGGTATAAATGCCTACACAGCGCTGAGTCTTGTAGGACGCTAAATTTTCCGTATATGGATGTCCGCATCAAACAGAATTGTGAATCAAGGGCAACTTTTTGTGATCTGACATAATTCATTCTGTAAAAAAGTTGAAACCTACCGGAATAGTATGTTCTGTGGGAGACTGAAGGGGAGGTTCCTCTGCCGGCTTGAGAGAATCACGGGCTCCAAGTGCTGTAAGCAGGAATAATTACACTGAACCAGCTTTAAAAGGCCATAGCGACATGAATCTTTTAGGTGATGTGCTGCTCATCTCGAGCATAGCATGCAAATTAGAAAAGGTGTGGGGTGATGGTAGTCTAAGCGAGCAATGCTCTAGAATCCTGGTAAGCAAGCATTACAACGAAGTGGAATGGAATTAGGGGCTACACTTGGGGTGATTATAGCCACGACGCCGGTCACCTTCTTGGATCAGGGCCCCTGCGAGTTCGGGAACCTGGTGAATCGCCGCGCGCAGGGTCCAGATGGATGCACGAGCGGACCGCGCTCGCTGTATCGGTGGCGCGTCCTCTGATGAGAGTGGTCTCCTTCTGCAGAGAGGCCAAAGTCGAAACTACTCACCTTCAGTTCGGTCTTCGATCTCTTCCGGGTGTTGGATTTTCGATGCCTTTCGAATTCTGAATGAAATTTCGTCAATGGATGTTCAAGTGTGGTTACTATGGTTCACTTAAATAACCAGTCTCTATTATAATTTACAATTCGAAGAAAAAGAACTCCATAATTAGAGCACTCGAAATGAAGGCTCCGCCTCTCGCCCAAATGATAATGGGCCTCAAAGCAGCGATTGTCCACAGACGACGAAACTGTTAGGTAGCCCCACCTATCGGGATCTGCCCTCTCACCGTCAATAAATTAACACTCAGTTTATGATATGAATCGTCCGCAACTTTGCCAAACGGTAAAAAATTCTTCGTTTTTGACTTTATCACGTTCAAATTTAACTCGAAAAATTAGCTAGTACCAACGACCACACACACTATTCCTTTACTCACACCTAAATTTGCATCACAAAGTACAAAAATTTGATATTTTTTATTTTTATTCCATTTTTCTACATATCTTTTCCGTGAATAGGCTTACCTATAAAGAATATCGGACTTACAAGGCAGTATCCAAGCTAAATAGACTAAAAACAAGCGTTATTATCATTTATTTGTGACAACTGCACCTGCTTTGCTATTTTAGGGAACTTCCGAGAACATGACTATTTTGGCTTACCTAAGCGATCTCCTTTTATGACTGGACTCCAGCGAAGGTTGCTGGCCTATTGGTGAGCCCCTCTTCAGTAACCGTTGCCGCCCAGTGGCTATTCTCCGTCCTGTAATGTTGGGGCAAAGCTTATGGTTTTGCGGCATCTCTCAGTCCACAAACGACAAACAAAAATCAACTATGGTAAGAAATGTAGTTATAGAAGAGATCTTCTACCTAAAGAGCATTCGTCACGGCATATCAGAAGAAAGACTTTTACAAACCGAATAGTTTTTTATGTTGAAATTATGGAAGCCAACTTGCAACTGGCCGATCAGCTACAAACAAAGGGCAATTTCATGCACACCAAAGCGACAGAAGAGAAATATGCGGAGCTCCAAAAACAAACCAAAAGAGCCTGAATCTGGTACATAGGTGCTCGACGACTTCGTTGATCCATGGGCGGAACTTCCAGAATCCTCGTGCGTCGATTGACGAGAAAACAGACGAACACTCAACGATGGGGGACGAACACCTTAAAGCGCAATCAGCGCAGCTCATCATTTCGTATAAAGCATCGCAAACAACTCTTGAACATGTCGACATAAAAGCTACAGAATTTCATTTTTGCACCCACTTCGGGCATGTCAAAATATAGGAGACGAGATTTTGGAGGATACATTGAAAGGCATCAATTGGAATTGGAAATGTTAGACGTTCCGCTTTGAGGCTGCTTTCAGAGTTGCCCGTGTCAGCGCCGATCCAAAGCTCTTCCATTGCCGTGCCAAGGTCGTGTCGGAACTGTGCCGGCGAGGTCAATCAATCAATACGTTAAAGTTCACCTCCGACACGGCGCCGACAAAGGCAACTGTGGTTGCAGCTTTTCCAGCCGCAATGTTTTTCTGATCTAGAATACTTGCGGACAAAAATTTAGTATTGCCGTGTTTATAGTCCCTCTAAAATGTGGCGCGAGTGGCACCTCTCGTGCAAAGCTAAAGCTACGAGACACAGGAAGCTAGCAATAGACAAGTTGATTTTTGTCACAATTTTCACAAAATGTTTTCCACAACGTATAAGCCATTTTTGGCGAAGCTTGAGACAGCCACGTTAGATATGAGGCGCGGACAATATTCGGACGACAGCTGTAGTCTCTGTGATTAGGTACATACTGATCACTGTTCACAAATGGCATTATTAGTAAGGAAAGTAGATGTACCGTACCTTTTTTGTCAACGACAGCTTCGTCAATGGTATCCTTCGAGCTTCTTGGTGAATCCTCCTCAGCTGTTGACAAGCTGATTCGACGTTCGCGATCGTTCACTAAAGTAGATTTTCAGACTACTAAAAGGGCTCTTACCCTGAGGCAGAAACGCAAAAAAGACTCGATCCAGATTTTTCTTCTCATTTCCATTCCAACAGCAGAAGAGTGGACGACTTACAATGCATAGATGAATTGATGTCAACAACGCTGCTCACTGATCCAGTTTGTTGAGCATTGAACGTATTTGAAAGGATGGACCAGCGACGGTGCGACAGCAGCTTATCCCATCCAGAAGTAGTGGCAGTCTAAAAAAGTGAGAATGAGAATCGAGCTAAGACTTTTCCGACGCTTATAAGTTTCGCACAAAAATATTTCTTTCTTGCAAGCATCCGCTAGTAGCAAATTCCCTATATTAAAAAAAACAGAATGAGCCACTTTTTGCCCTGGATTACTGAAATTTGAGCTGTAAAAAAAGTTTAATTTTAGCGCGCATACTGTTAGTATAAATGAAGAATTATCTATAGAGTTTTTGCAATATTTCAAAACGCGAGATGTGCTTATCTGGAGCATAGTGAGGAGAAAATTTTGGATTACCTTGTTATTCTTGGTTCTTGGGATAGTTCGGAAGGTTTCGCGTAAGAACGATGTGATCTCATGGAGAAGAAGTATCGCAATCAGCTGAAGAGCCGGAGGACATCGTTCGCCTGACTCGTCGTTCACGATCGCTACAAAAGAACCCCTTTCATAATTAGAACGCAGATCCATGAATTCAGCTCCGAAAGGCTTCAGATGAAATCTACGACCATTTCAGCAGCAACAAAAAATCTATCACCACTCTGTTCTTTGAAGTTTTATAGCTGATTCATTTTTTGCAGATCAGTTATCATTTATCAATCAGTGTTATTATGAAACATTGCAAAATACGCACAATCGTCAAAGAAGTCCTCCATAGTGTCCTCCATTTTCAGAGTTTGTTTGTCTTTAGCTTCGACCAGCTCAAGGAAACGCGATAATTGCTCTCCTATCTGAAAGAGCAAATTGAATTCCAATACATTACTGCTTTCAAGCTCTCACCTGAATAGCCCACTGGTAGAAGTATCTGCCGGCTGTTCGCTGTAACGAATGCATTCGACGTGTTCCAGATGGAGTGCCTAAACGCCTCGCTAGCGGTAAGTTCGGAAATGATTAATGTTGGTACCTCTATTTGCCAGTGGACCTCCCAGGCTGAGGGTGCGATGGTGACTACTTCGGATCCACTCTGGCCAATGTCCACGGTTGCATCGCGAGACAAAATGGCAGCACTCAAGGAGCAGCGCAGCTCGAGCAAGAACTGGTGACTTCTGCAAGGACATTGGATTGAGCAGTACATGTTTGAAAGAATTTTATTTTGTTTCCCTCAATTTTTCTAAATTTTTCAGACGTTTAAAATCTCAAGGATGACATGGATGCACTTTACAACAGCACTCAGTGGCCTCTTTAATTGAATACCGTAAATCCACAAAACTAACGAAATGCTTTCATTGTATTTATCAGACCTTTTTCAAGCAGAAAACTTACCAAATGTAAAAGAGCAGCAATCAGCGGTGGATCAGGAAACGTTCCTGGCCGAGTGGTTTCCAACAAAAATGCAAATCGCCTCACTCCCTCGAAAATTCCCTAAAAACCCTCATAAAGACAAAGTGAATATCTTGAATTGGTTTTTACCTTATTATCCAACCATTTCGGAGCAGGAACAATCACATTGTAAAGGCGAATATTTCCTTGGGCTAAAAACCAGCGATTTTACATGATCTTTTTATTCTGCGTATAGCGAGTTAGAATTCACCATCTGCTGGACTTTTGAAGGTTTTCCTACGAATACTCTCTGTTGTACTCTTTCTTGAAAATACGTCCATTTCCTTAACTGATACGTTTTTTACAGAGGAACGAGCAAGGTGCTATGGTGAAATCAACAGAAATAGAGAGCAGAGGTTGAAAGTTCAAAAGCTGTTTGAATTAGGCTTACTCCAAATTCATCAGCAGTTTCTGAATCCGAGCATTCGTCATCGTTGTTCTCCGCTTTGGAGGATTTTAGTAGATTGAATGCTAAAATTAGAGATTTTTCAAGAAAAGATTTGCTATTCACAAAGTTTTACTCACCAAAATGCAGTTTCGGTGCACTTTTTTTCTTCATCATAGCTGCGGACACCAGAGGCGAAAGACTGTCGTCCATGGACGAGATCGTGCGAGGAGTTGACGGCGAAGAATCCGCATCCGAGTCATCCGCTCCGCTTTTCAGCATAGAGTCATGTGAAGTCTGAAATCGAGAATATATTTATTAATCATTGACTAGTATGCTTTACCTTCTCCTTCTTCTTAAACAATCCTCTCCTTAGCGACGCTTGATCGTTGCGACTTGGAGGAGCAAGGTTTCCACTAGGACTACTTTTACCGCTTTCATCTCTTCTCGGCAAGTCGCTACTGAAAGTAATAGTTGAGGATGAGATTAGGATCCGCAGTTTTACAAAGGTTCTTCGTTCCAACTTAGTGAGGGTAATTTTTCGCAAATATAGACTCTTTGAAGGTATGCATGAGAATTGAATTTTCCATCGGTCAAAAGGGAAGGGTATGTCGCATTCGAGGTAGAGGAACTGTTAGAATCGGACGAGAGAAGCACACAGGTTGGACATGCAAGACTAGGATATTTTTCCTTTTGGAAACCACTGAATTCAAACGCTGGACTTCATTATGTACCCATGCACTTGACTACCACAAAAGAGGACCAACAGAACAGAATGCGCTGCTGTTGGTAAACGTATACATATCTAGGAAAACCTGAAGAAAATGCGAAAAAAAACGTCTCAAAGCTATAATTGATTTTGCGATCGTTGATAGTTTTTGATAAAATCGTTTCTTCCCATCTATCAGAAATCCAACCGTCCAACAACGATGCTTGACTGGGAAAACGCTTGTGAATCTGTGCTATCACTGATTTTGTAAATTTTGAAAAATGCGACGCGGAGCGACTATCACGAATAGGAGCAAGTAAAAAACGAAGGAGCACAATATAGACTATGAGGTATCCCCAGCAGGGTGGTTTAGTGAAAGCCAGCACGGTACAAATGCAGGGACCAAATGGAGTGGGTGAGGTGGAGTCCATGCAAAGTACCCACTCAAGAGAAAGAGAAACGCCGGCTACACTATTGTGCAGAAGCTGACGACGAGGTGACTGTGGAGTCAGTGTGGAAGACCTCTCGACGAAGCCGCAACGTAATCGCAAACGAGAGCGACTTGTTTGTGGGGATAACTTCGATGGTGAATCTATTTGATTGGAAGGTTCTGTTGGTGTCTTGCTAAAATTGAGATCCAGGATTCGATCAAGTGCGTAGTCAGTACTAGGAGACTGAAAAAGGGAAAAGGCCAGGAACTGTAGAAAAACTGACCTTTCTGACTTTGGTCTCTTGTCGATGGCGTCCAACAATGCGCTTAGTCCAACTCTTCGAAATGGATTTCCATGCTGCTCTTGAACAAAGTTCACCAACATACGTACATCTCCCAAGAGGCTCTGAAACAAAAATTTAAGACCCTATTTCAAAGAGCATGACAGTTATATTAGCGCTGCGTTGTCAGCTCTTCTTGTCCTCATTGGAGCATACTTGCCAGTCAGCAGTTATGTTTATGATGACTGTTCTTTTTGCAAAATAATATTAATTCTAGCTTGTGATTAGACGAGCATAGCGGTTTCAAAGAGGATTGATGCTAGACGTATTTCTCCCTGCATAATCATTGTTTCTCTCATTCTTAGAAGCCAAAAAATCCACCAGCGCATAATAAAAAATTTCGAATTTCAGTCGCAAAAGGAAGATGACATGATATGATAAGACCTTCCAAACTCCCACCCTCAATTTCGACAACTTCATTCATATTTTTCACGTTGAGTCATTTTTATCAATCGTTTTTTTTTGGAAGAAAATCCTCGGGAGTTTATGCATTCTACAATGACTCCGATGAAACATCTGTGAATATTTTCAATGTCTCACCATATTTTCTGGCTGGTTCAGCTCATCCTGCATCTTGGCCAATTTCGAGGATAGCCCTCGTAATGTGGCGTTGATGATTCGTCCTTCAATCCCTTTCTCGCGCTCATTGAAGCGATTCCGATAGGATGGGGCTTTGCTTTCGGGTTGCTTTCGAGTGTCCTCTGCAATTTGTACTTTTATTATGCAGAATCGTTTATCCCATGAGAACGCTCAGGTTGTTCCAGTGAGGAGGGTGCAGAAGCACTCACGTGGGAATTCAGAGCGACAGAAGGCCGTGATAGCATGGATGAGATCGAGGATCAACTGCGGATTGTTCTCTTCGACGTAGGTGGTAAAGATTGTTCGAAACCGATTCTGCAATTGTCCACATTTCTTTTTGAGAACAGATTCATACATTTGTAGGATGGACACTTTGATTCTCCTACAAGTAGATGTTGAGCTTCTTATTTATAGCCATGTAACGTACAAGTAGCTGAGAGGCAAGATTATGTGTATAGCAATCTTTCTTCTTCATATAAAGTGCCAATCACCCATTATGTTTTCAAATCAAGAGTAAGCGATAGTCACCTGCTGCAATTTTTCCAGCTGTGCCAGAATTGTCTTAGCTTTGACTCGTAGAAAATCAGCATGTTGACTTTTTATGCCATCGTTACAGCCGTATGGACAACCAAGGGAGAGGTATATCCTTGAATCGTTTCGTTAGAAGAAGGTCAGAAATTTGTTGCCTACAGCAGCTTCTGCGGGTCTTTGGTGAATTTCATTACCTAAAGATCATCATGGTCAGCTGCATGAAAAAGGTCTCGGTTTGATCGATGCGTATTCGGAGCAGAGTGTCAGCGATGTTGAGGGCTAGTTCACACAATCTTACAACCCCATTTCGTTCCATGACCTAAACATACTCTGATTATTCTTTTAAGTGTGACTAAACGTTTTTATGTAGACATCCAACTTCGGCAATTTATGCATTTTCGATTACGATTTTTGATGGCTATGACGAACCTGATTAATTGTTTGCACTATGACAGTAAGACTGATTCTGCCGTTCCGTTCGATAAAACTCGAACTACCGCGAGCTTCTGGGTAGAATTTGGCTGCGATTCTCTCGTTTGTTTTCTCGGACTTCGATGAAGAATTGCTCACTGATGCGCTGTCTTCTCGGATAGACAGCACCTCACAAGAATTCGTTAGCGATGGATCGGATCTGAAATCATGGAATCAGGGAGGGAAAGAGGAAATATAGCTTCTTACCTATTTCGTTCTCGTTTCGTCAGCGTATTCAAGCTGGATCTCCGCGACTGATGAGGTCGTAGAGGAAAGGAAGTCTGGTCAGTGGATTTCCGCCTGCTAAAAAATTGTGTTAAGACCCAAGTAGGGGAGGATAGGATGTTGAATGCGCACCTTGTATCGCTGAAGGCGACATGTAGCTTTGATTTGTCGTCCTCATCTCTTTTTAGTTGGAAATCTTCCCAGGTTGTGTTGTTGTACGAGGAAAGGCCAAGCTGTAGAATTGGTACATGATCCACCGTACGTTCACTGATTGATTTTTCTGATTATTTGTAGAAAATCATTTTTTTCGCAGATGATTTGCATATTAAGAGAACTGCATAAAATTGAGAGCAAACACTTGACTAGCCACGATTTCGCTCAATTTTTTAAAGCAGAAAATCGCTTACTGCTAAACTTGGTTTCCTCTCCCCAGATGGCAATGAATTGCTACGATGCCTAGTTCCGTGCAAAGCGAAGTGATTCTGCAATCACACCAATTACCCATACCTTTTCAATCATCAAGTTAATGATACCTGTATTTGTTCGATTCGATTCAGCAAGTAGCGCATGGCCCAATAAATACCTTGTTCTTGCCAGTGAGTGATCAGGAGGGCTCGAATGACAGCAACGTCGAGCATAGTGGCAATCTGAATGGAAACTCATAGTCATTACGATGGCAGGAAGGCAAATCATGTATCTATTAGGTTGTTGCAAAAATAATGTCCGTTTTGCAAATTTTCACTTTGGAAGGCTATAACTTCTTTCAGTTTTCATATTTTTGAATGCAGTCAAAACCATCAGAAACAGCAAACCTTTCGTAATTTAGCGCGCACCTGCTCATACTGATATCGCAAAGAAAACCATGCGTCAAAAAACTGAAAGTTTTTTTTTGAACCTCTACTATTTAAGAGCTTACAACTCTCTTCAAAATTTGTTCGTATGACTGGCAATCAGCTTATTTTGTAGCCGCAAGCCATGAGTTCACGTGTGTACAGAAAAGACTCCAACGAAGGAGTTCTGCGAAAAGAAGAGATAAAAATACAAAAACGTTCATTTTTTGAGCTTATTTGTTGTAGGCTTGCAAGTGCAAAATTATAAAAATTTGGAATTCTTCGCGCACTGAATAGCTAAGTTTTTCTTCAAATATTGTAGTTAAGGTGTGCTAATCTCAACGTTACGGAAATGGGCGAAGCTTTGGCGATTGCCCTAATCAGGAAAAATTTCGAATCTATAGGATTCCAGGCAGCGAGCATCTTTTTTGAGGCATCGATTTCTCAATTCAGGTATATTCGAAGAACTTATTCAAACATGCAATAAGTAAACAATATTTAACCCAAACAGTAGCTGTGTTTTCAGAAAAATTCGTTTATTCGCTTCAGAATTGTGGTCAAGTAAGTGAAAGCTATGAGATTCCGATTTTGAGTGCGGATGTGCAAAAGATGGTGAAATTCCCAGAGATGAGGATAGAAGCTTGATTCCACCACCTTTACAAATTACATGAAGAGAGCTTTCCAGAATTATGCAGATTCTATATCGAAAAAGAAAGTTTGATGGAAAAAAGTTATTTGGAATATGGGCCTACAAAAACGGCATTATTTTTGCAACAGCCTAATATTTAGCTGCCGTATCCGTTCATTTATCAGCTAAGAGGTAGTGCTCAATGTTGAGATGAGTTGTTTTTTCCATAAGACTTCAGGACGCAATTTTTGATAAGTGACAATGAGATTCTCATAACTAACAAAGTAGTCCCCATATAACGTATTTTGCAAGAAACAAGGCAAAATTTCCATGAAAACTGGTGGGACCCTACAACTTTGGCCCCATAACAATGGCTGCGAAGTACTAATGCTCATTCTGAAACGTTTAAACCTTTATGAGTAAGAAAGTATGCTGCATCAAAAGTTGTATAACTCAACAAACCATGGGATCGGTTTGACCAAGGTCCTCAATCTCGTCGTCCACGCTGCTCACTTCGGTTTTTGATGGCTGTTCTGAAAAATAAATCGCAGACTCTAGCAATAATCGACTAGCAAAAATAGTGCACTGTCATGGTATTGCAGAGTGAGATTTTTTGCGAGGCCGAACAAAAACCGTCTGAGAGCTTAGCGTCAACTTACTGGGTTGAACTCGAGCAGTTTCCATAGCATGAAAATCTGATATTTCTATTGGAGTTCTAGGTGGTAGCTTCACTGGGATTACAGTATGCTGACTTGACGAAGATACGGTATCGTCGGTAGTAGATGCTAGGAAACATATTAGCTCATTGCTAAAAATTTGACTGGGAAGCGAACCCCGAGTAAGAATCACTGGTGGCGTTTCGTTCGCTAGTAGTGTCACACCAGTGCTTTCGTTGCATTGACAAGAACAAGCCGACTGATCCCGAGGAAGGAGCTTTCCACATTTGTTGCAACTCAGCTGACATTTAATTTTTTCAAACTTGATAGCTTTGCATTTGCATGATAACAAGAGTATTTATATTTACCTCCTTGATTAGTTCACCATTCCCCATCTCTAACGAATAGCCACTGCAGATGTCACTGATATTCACAAGCGGAGCGTCGCTCTGCTGGTTGAAGACACCAGATAATGAATTGCTGTCCTGAAATTTGCATGATCGTTCGTTAAAAACCTCAGTTGTAGCAAAAGTACCTCGTTACATCTGAGAACGTCGTCGACATCATCCAGCATATGCAGTGAACTTTCGGACGCTAAATATTGAGTCTTTCAGCCCGAGTCGGGTGAGAACGCAAGGATTAGACGTTGAAGACTTAATCCCCACCTATATACCCCGAAGAAAAAGTTGAAAGGTTCTGAGTCTCGGATTTCCAATAATTGTTTTTCTATGCTATTGTTTGATTTATCGTTTTGTGGGTTATGAACAGGCTACGCAAAGGTTGTTACATACAGCGTTTTAAAAATCTTGAAAGATAAGAAACGTTTTAAAAGGTTCAAAAATGTAAAAACTCAATAATTGCTCCTCTTTAAAGCTCCTGTCACTTTCAATGAAATTTCGAAACTCAAACTGAGAAAAGGTTTCGATCATAAGCCTAAGAACCTGACTGAATCAAAGATTTTACAGAATTTTTCGTAAGTTCAATTGCCGTTAAATCTATCATATCCCTTTCGAGCATTGGATGACCTCTTATTTGGATACCTTCTTTTTTCTAAGCGAATTTTCAAACATGAACTTACTAGGGCTTATGTCAAATGCATTTGTGGTGTTACTTTTCGCAATTCTTCGAGTTGGAATGGATTCACCCGTCTTATATTCGCTAACGCTTCGGACAATCGACGATGTCATTGCCAAAGTGGTCGGAGTAGGAGATGGCCCTTGTACATCCACCAGCAGTGCTTCGTTATTTCTAAAATACATTTCCTCTAACAAGTTTTCTGTTTCTCAGCCACAAAATATGTTAGTCTAAATCTAAACTCCGCACCACGAATGTTTTTTGATGTTTTTGAAGATTTGTTATGTTTAGCAGATTCAGGAGAATTTATGTGCAAGCTAATGCTACCACGTACTCTGGCATCAAAGGCGTCGCTTCAGTTTCTTTCTCCTTTTGAAGCAGTTTTTGCTGCTCAGCCTCCTGCTGTTTTCGCTTTTCCATTTCACGTCTTCTTTTCTCGTCCAGTACCGCCCTATCCGTTCGAGGAGGTTTCGGTGGTGGAACTACTGCTACTGAGGGTCTCCGCGGTATCTCTTCCTCACCTTCAAAGTTGAAATGAGATTTGGAAAGTGGAAGGATAAAAATGTCTTGCAAAATATAAATGATCCTACCTATGTAAATGCCTTGATTAGGTGGAATAGAAGCTACTGTTGGCCTCCGCAGAAATGTTACTTGGGGCAATTCGTCTTTTCGTTGCTTGACGGGTGCAGTGAAACACCACACGTCTGGTTGTCGGTACTGAAAAGGGAGAAAGTAACATATTTCAAATAAACTAACGAACCCGTTTTTGAACTCACGCTGTCAGAGACTCGCAAAAAAAAGATTGCACATAAGTAAATGTCAAATGTGGCTCAAGCATTTTCGCAGTTACTGAAGAGCAAAATGAACAAACACAAGCAAAGTTATTTTCTTTGGATTACATGTTTAGCCTCCAAAGTACATTTCCTTTTCTCCTTTTTCATGAAGGAATTTATCTTAATCATTTATGGCTGACTGTTCTGGTCAAATCAGTTCAAAACAAGGTAATTCTTAAATGTCAGACAACACACCTGCCAAAGAGCTTGCCAAATCTTCATTCCACTTTCCAATCGTATGTTGTCTGCAATATCCTCCTCAGAAACCATTTCAGCCAGCGGAGTGATGAGATAGACAAAAAGTTGAATTGACGAAAGGGAGAAAAGCCCTTGACCACGAGGGGTAATTTCTTCCTAGAGAAAATTTGTATGTTTTAATACGTATGTTTAGGTCACTATGTTTTCAGTGAGACTCAAGTTAGCATACTTTTGGTGAAGCCTCGGCACATTCTGATGCTGAATCCAGCAGCATCCAGTGAAGTATGTACAAGATCTTTTGTAGAGATGCTGATAATCCTTTGCCGTCGGAGGCCTCCAGCAAAGAACCACAGCACTGAAAAACGCGGTAGAAGCTGAGCATGGCCATAGAATACGATCGTAATCAGACCTGTATGACATGCGGAAGTGCTGCTCGTACGAGTTTCCATCGACTAACGCTTGCGATGGCGTCAGAGAGCGAAGGCGACAAACCATGGAGAATATTTTGAACAACCACCCTCTCGAATGTCTGGAAATGTATGACTTGGAATGTAACACGAGAGGATGAAATATGTCAGATAATCGAGCTCTGAGACTTTTGCAATATTTTTGAGAATGGTTAAAAGGATATACTATACATACATTTATCTATGTTAATTAGGTAATATGAGTCATTGGACAAATATTCGCTATAGTAGATTTATCATCTCAACAAATTTGCTCTGGAGAGAAAGTAGTAGCTATTTTCTAGCACCACTTTTTCAGTATTGAGCAAAGTCTAAAGCACAAGTTGTATTTTCGTGTTTTTTCTTTTAAGCTGAGCAATTCGCTCAAGCTCCTTAGTACTGCGTAAGCCATCATATATTAGGTTGTCCCAAAAGTAAACCGTATTAAAACGTTTATAATATGTGAATGAGCATGATGTCTGCTTTTGAAATAATAAGTTAGATTCAACATTTAAACATTTGAAATACCAAAAAGATGTGCGTATTTGAGTCCAGAGTGCAGGTATGGAGCGCTAACTCTGATTATATTTTTAATGGGCTAACTGAAAGACCAAGGCAGCGAGTTCTGTGCCCAGCTACACGAAGAAGCAGTGGTTTAGTTAGTCACTTTAGTCAATCAGCCATCAAATGCCGCTCCTGATCTTAGTATTGCGAGCGCTTCAGCAAATTTGAGAGTCCTGCATTATTACGCGAAAAAATTACAAACATACCACATTGGCCCACAACTCTTATCTCAGATGTTACCCCTGCTGAAGGACCTGCCCGGAAGAAGTTCAACACAGTCCATTTTAATTAGTAAGCATTTATTTGACTCTGTTAATATATTTAGACTCTCCAGTACTGAGTCTGACGCTCCACAATGTCACAATGTCCCCCATGTCAGAAAAATGCTACTCCTATCTTGCAATAATGTAACCCCCAGCCTAAGTGCTTATGTCTGTTGTGTCATGAACGAAAGCCAGTAGAGCACCCTTTTGTTTGTTTATGCCTTCGAATTCGTGCTCATTCCCCCCGTTGGTTTCCGGTCTCCGATTTCAAGACGCATCAATGACTTGCATGTTATTTTTTGTGCCTACAATCCACCAAATGCTCTGGAATTTTTCTGTTTGGTGCATTCCGCAGAGCTCACATTGAACAAAGAGCTGTAGATTGCTTGAAGCAGTCTCGACCTTTTTTGCCTACGAAGGGGTGCATAAAAGGGTCTCGACGCATCTGCGACCCCTCGTTAAACCTGGATTTTGGCCTGAGCGTATGCACGACGAGTAAAAGCGCTCTCCATCAACTCATTTGGTTGTACGATTGCAGCTTGACGGGCGAGAGAATGGCCATGACAGCAGCGGCAGCAGCAAATCTTATCTGCCCGAGCTTCTTTATGCGTCGAGAGCATGTCAATAAGAGACGAAGAGCAATAATCATCTGGGAGGCTATACTGGCGAAAAACTTGCGAAAAAACTAGCCATAAGAAGCGGATACACTCCAAATTATCAACGCACATATCGCTAATGATGTTAGAAGTGTCGAGAGCGAAGAGTGATACGAAGAAAGAGATGGTGATTGTATGATGTCATACTGAAGTTTATCGAGCTTCAAATCTTCAGAAATAAAAGATCTTTTGTTGATTGGAGCAGCGAAAATTTGTATTTTTTGCCTGCGCTGATTTTTATAAAGGACGTAAAGAGGAGAAAACCTCATCTATGAATTTCTTCACTTCTAGCAATTCTACTTACACTCAGCATGTTTTGATTTTGTCTACTACATCCGGTTGACAAATCAGGTCCAAGGCCGTGTACATGATTGCGAATTTCATTCTAATCCAGATATTTTTTATATAACATCAAAGTTTTTAAATCAAAGTTTGCAAATAATTCTCCATGAAGCTGTTGAACTGAAAAGGCGCCGACATCAGCAATCCTTCAATAAATTCTGCAAATAGCTAAGGCTATATCTAGAATCGCGTGCCAGCGTCGTTCCAGCGCCGTATTAGCAAAGTGTCGGAGATCGATCGATCAGTACGGATGCTTTCACATGAGCTAGGACTGGCGCTAAATGGCTCTGAAACGAAGCTGGCACTGCGCCGGAACGGCACTGTCACTGAAACAATACCGACACAGCGCGGGCACACGGGCAGCTTTAAACCAAGATGCTTTGAACCAACCTAAGATTCCAGTTGGTAAAAGAAAGGTTACTAGCAGAAAGTTCTTCATCTAACACACATCATCTTAAATATTCAAGGCTTAGCTGCAGCCACTGAACAGTCACGACAAGCTTTTGTAAAGCCAACAGTGCAGTCAATACCTAGTTTCCACTTCACTGATCCTTCTTGCCCCGTTTTTTGGGGACAGAATACGCTTCTTTGTCACTCTCGCTCTGGATATGTTTCTGAATGCCAAACTCCTTGCGAGGGCTGTTGATGGACAAGCCCGACGTTTCTCAGTACGAAGCCAATAAAATTTGAGGCGAACATCCGAGAAGATGCGTGCCATGCAGTTGTGAATGACAAGTGAAGTACTATCACTAACGATACGACGGCTTCTTCTAACGAAGTTGCTCTCTGGAGAAAAGCTGCAGTAGAACAACAACAGAAGTTCTTTCGGTTTCCGTAGAAGTAAGCTCAAAAATCTCATATGCATAAGAATAAGTTGTGGAATAGTTATGGAAGTAACAAATTATTGAAGCACCGCTTACAGCATTCAGATACGGTAATCACTCAAAAGGAATGGTTAAATACTTATGGTACAGAAGGTCTGCTGCATCCTCATGACATGAAGAAGTCAGTTCATATGAAATGGATGAATCAATCTCTTTATTGCTCAAAGAACTAAAGCTTCAGATCTTATTCGACCTCTGCTGCACTAAAGAAGCCTGACCTCCGCGAGCATTTTTAGAAAATACGTAAAATATATATCCAAAACTTGTATGTACCATTTCTCAGATTCTTCCATGCACCTAGTACATGAAAGCGATGCTTAGAAATTCAAATTTTTTTAGAAAGATTGCCAAACAAGGACATAATTGTTATTATCAATAAAAATTTCAGATGAAGGTACTGATAGTAATTGAAACAGCCTTCCAAAGGAAGTCTCAGCTAAACAGCATTGAACATTTCCAAGAGTTTCTCGTGGAGTAGGTCTGCAAGACAAAAATAACAAGTATAATGCCCATCGTTTTCTACATTCTGTTAATTTGCGATTTTTCTCCATAGAATTTTTTGACGTTTCATCATAAGGTGTTATAAACGAACGGGGCTGATGCCTTTTCCAGTCAACGCATTGTCAAAGCTCTGGCAGAGGCAGAAGTATTCAGCAGAGTCTTCATAGCAGGAGCCGTGAGGCGTTTACGATGCAAATTTACTTGAATTGAGTCAAATTCTCCCTCAAGTAGCTTCAGAACACATACAAGCGCGGAAGTACTATTCTTGCGTAGGTGAAGACGAGTTTTCGAGTTTTTGTTTAAGTTTTTGTTCAATTTTGTAAGCAGTGCCGTGCTGTTAACAGAGGAACATATCTCTTTTCAACGTATAAGCCGTTATAAAATTGTAGGATGCTTGAGATAAAAGGATATTCGCCGGGCGGTTTTACAAAACACAAAACTTCTGTTTTGAAGCTGCTCGCAAAATATTTGCATAGCAGCGATTTACAATAAGTTGAAATGGTAGATATTACCCAAGGGTAACCCAAAAAATTCTCCCCACCCACACAACCCTAACACCATCGCTTCGAATGACGGGTGTAATACATCTCATAACCCAGAAGGCTCAGCAGATGTGCAAAAAAGAACACGTCATCCAGAACGCACACCCTCGCATTTGCCCTTCTTCTAGCAGGCATTCTCATACACCAACTTCGCCTCTCGTGGAAGAAAGTAGACAATGTGACACTGCAGATTACCAAGAGATATACTTGGAAAAGCAGAATCAGATTGCGAAGGTCAGCAAAACAGTTGCGATTGGAATAGGACATTCCTGCAAGAAGAGCGAAATTATTTCGAACTGTACCTCAAAGCTAATGTCGACAAAGTTCGTATTCCAAAACGATGGAGCTCAATCAACAATTCTACATAATTTTTTTGCGGTAATTTATATTACTGGCTCAAACATGATTTTTTTTACTTCAGTCATATTCCTTTTATCTCTACATTATCTCGCGGTCACTAGAAAGCTTTATCTTTAGTTGAACATTTCACCTAATTGGGCATCTTATCTCTTTTCACTTTTGACACTCTAAGTGGATATTCTAAAAAGCAAAAATCAAAAAACCAGTAAGATACATGTCTCACATCTGAAGTACAATTTTTCCCGTCTTTTTCGAGTAAAAATGATGCGCGCGACTACTACATGCTGGAAGTGAAAGTTTTGAGTCTCGCTAAATTATTTATATTTTTGTGCAATGCAATAACAGAATTAGAACAGAATAAAGTGTAATGTTCTGTGAGTTAACTTCAAATTAATCTTCAAGTTTTGCACAAGCTGTCGTCAGAGAAAAGTTCAAGAATTTTTCTTCGAAATGAAGAAACAGTTGATGCCCATTCTTTCGAACTAAGCTTGCTCGAATCATACTGAAAGCGTATTTTGACCACTTAGGAGATCGGTATTCAGAAAATTCATATTTACACAACAGTTCAATGCTTCTCACTCGAGTGGCCGCTTCCTTTGCATACATTTTTTATTGAATCAAAATGCGCAAAAGGGCATTTTTTTGAACAAGCCAGCTACCATATTGTGCATTACTGCTCCATCTATGGGAATCTATGCAGCCGCTCTGGGCGAGAACTACGTCAAAGCCTGGAATAGAAACCATCTCTCAAGGGTGTCGTTTAGCGCAGTGTTTAAGAATCATTTGAAGCTGCGGCTAAGTGTCGGTGACGGCTTTGGCCACTGGTCTCGAGAGTCTACTAGGACGTCGAATACGATAGCGAGAATCATAAACATCATAATGCATCCACAGGAGCGAAGGAGGAGGGAGTAAAGGGTTCCATTCCCAGCAGCATTTATAGGGACAATTTCAGTTCCCTCTGAATGTCGCTGCTCTTTTTCACAAGACATGCTCCACTTCTCAGGCTGCAGAGGAAAAGCCAGTGCCTTCGCACATCAGCGATGCTTCGTAACGGCTTCGGATAACACTGCCGTGAATAATTAACACACTTAGGCGCCCTCTTGCTGCAAAAGTCCGCAAAAAAAAACAGTTGATTTAGAAAGTAGAAGGAACATCATCTCGAGATGAAGGATAATGAAGCTAATACCACTGCAAAGACTTGGAAAATCACTGATAGCAATAAAATGATGCTCACTATTACTAGTCTGAACGATTGTCCAGCAATGCAAAAGGAATGCTTTCAAGTACAAGCGACGTCTTAACGTCTAAGAAAGATATAACCACTCGAATGCCCATCATAAGTTAGTCTCCACTAATTTGTGACTATTCACCAAAGGCGGTTACATCTATTCCAGATCTACTCACTTTTTCCCTTATCATGATTTTGAATATAATACAAACAATCAGATAAACACATATCCTCCAAACCTAAACAACGTCAGCATTTTGTGTGGAAAAGCAGCTAAATTAGAGGAATGACAAGGTAAGCGACAATTTAAAATTGTCTTTGTGATTCAGCGTAGAATTTTGTGATAGAAGCTAGTAAACTGGCTGAATAATTCTTATATGCACCACTCAGTCGAATCCTTCCCCTCTAGACACAAAAATGGAGGCACCAAATAACACAACAACTATTAGGTTGTCCCATAAGTCTTTTCATTTTTGAATTTTCGCTATAATAAGTCACACACTTCTTACTCTAAATAGACATCAGGATACCATTCGATAGAGCAAAGCAAGCTCTATAAGATGGCGCTTACGCTTTCGCACAAGCTTTGGTTTATCTCGAGTTTTAAACCAAAATCTAAAAAGTTTCGGATGGCCAAAAAACCGAAATTTTTTTATATCTTCGTTCAAAAAAATCATACAAACCTCAAACTTGCTCACGTATAAATATTTCACATCAGACATTCATATGTGCTGTTGCTGCATTTTTTTTATCAGCTAGAAATCAAGAAACCGAAAATTTTCATGTTTTTACCAAAGTGATGCTGTGCTGTTCTTACACAAGCAGTTGCATAGTAGAAGCCCTCAGAAGTACTGCAGTAGATTTTTGGCTCTCTATATGCTCTAGTTCACGAGAAATATCAAATTTAGCTTTCTTCACTTGGGTTTTTCACGCTTAAATCAACATTTCTCGGGAACCAGAGCTTATATAAAGCTAAAAAATTACAGTTGTACTTCTAAGGGCTTGTAGTATACAACTGTCAGTGTAAGAACAGTACAGCATCACTTTGGTAGAAACAGGAAAATTTTCGGTTTCTTGATTTCTAGCTGATAAAAAAATGCAGCAACAGCACATATGAATGTCGGATGTGAAATATTTATATGTGAGCAGGTTTGAGGTTTGTAGGATTTTTTTGCACGAAGATATAAAAAAATTTCGTCCGAAACTTTTTAGATTTTGGTTTAAAACTCGAGATAGACCAAAGCTTGTGCGAAAGCGTAAGCGCCATCTTATAGAGCTTGCTTTGCTCTATCGAATGGTATCCTGATGTCTATTTAGAGTAAGAAGTGTGTGACTTATTACAGCGAAAATTCAAAAATGAAAAGACTTATGGGACAACCTAATACTTCTTCAAAAATAATATTGCTTGAATAGTAAAATAACAAAGTCTTAGTACAAGTGTTTATGACTGATTTCAATTTGCTCAAGGGTTATGAGTAAAAACATTAGGATGTTTGTGCCATTTATGAAGCTTATGAACAGGTATTAGGAGCCAAACTAACGGAAGCGAATAAACGAGATCATTTTCTAGACTCAAGAAGAAAAGTTTACTATGATTAATTAAAAAGGAAGAACAAGGAAATGGCACAGCTAACCTACCATTTCAAAACAAAAATAAAAAAAATATGTACTTACCACACATGATGCTTCGTATAGTTTGCCGGTTTTAGCTCCGAGGAATGGACTGAAACAATTCTTATTTGAAAATTTTCTGGGATATCCGCATCGAGGTAACTGCTCACTTTGTTTGACGCCATAAGAACGTCTGTATGGGTAGTGGCACTGCTTCGCATTCGGATTCGTCACCGTCATCGACCCTGTAAAGGGTAATTTTTTTCTCAGTTATGCTAATTTTTTCAAGAGTTAGAACAATTTCTTAACAAATCAGTTTGCTAGATAAAAATCGTTTGTAAGCGATAATCAACGAATAAAAGTAATTGTTAAATGTGACGCGTTTATTTCTTCCTAAAAATGTTATATTTGGAAAATTTAGGTGTCCTCACGTCGTCAATGATTTTTTTAATAATCGAATGGCTCCTCCCCCACCTATCAGAGTCTAAAGAGTCGAGATAGGTTATCTCCACATAGCAGTGGCGGTCCCAGGATTTTCGTTTAGGAAGAGGGGGATGCGGGACTAAAGCTTTTCGAGTACAAGCACTCCAGAAATTTTTTTGGGATGCTTCCCAAAATTTTTGCGACCAAAGACCCGAAATTTTATTTTAAAAAAGGGATTTTTGTGTGGTTTGACTCAAATCCTTTCCTCAAAGCATACAACGCCTTAGCTCAATGGTCAGATTTTTTAGCTGTTTGCTTTTTATATATTCCCGTTTCAGCTCACTTACTTCATGCCCCTGGTGAATGAGGTATGGTGTTCACTTGGTCTTTACGAATAATTTTATAGTAAACTACAGTTCGAGGGTTGTAGCTACATAATCTACACAAGCACCGTATTTTCTTCCATTTAACCGTTGAGTTTTCAATTTTTCAAAATCCCTAGCAGAGGATGATTATAAAAGTGTTCCTGAGCAAGAGCGCTTCCAGATGCCGTGCTGCTCTTGTCCCTAAACAGTCAACGTTTTCTATCTCAATGTGATGCCCACCACTACCAATGGTGTTTGAGTGAGTACTCGGTAGGATTTCTGTATGTAAACCAAGCCTTGTAAAAGTAACGCTCAATTCGGCACGAGATGGGCTGTGGTCGGCCTCTAAATTGTTTTCGAGGAAAAAAACCAGCTGGTTATCGCTCAGTGCTCGCGGCGGAGCCAAATTCTCTTTTGCTATTTTGTTACCGCTTTTCACTTTACATACGTCACTTATTGTCAGTTCAGGTTTTTGAAATGAAAAGCCTTCTGCTTATCAGACTTCTAAGCATGGGTTTTTAAGATGTTCTAAGACTGTATAAGGCCGAGGAGAAATTCTTTTCAAAAGATTTGTCATCCATCGCCTCAGAACCAAAACCAAAGGACAGTCAACAAAACAGTCACATAGCTTCATCAAAATTTCGTTTATAAAAATAGACAAGCTCTCTTTTTGCATCCATCTGGCTGATGCCGCACTGATAAAATCCCGTCCGCAAATCAACAACTTTTCCTAAAATCTGCAATATTTTCGAGTGACCTGTTGCTTTAGCCGCATAATTCTATTTGGAGAATATTAGGCTTAACTTGTTGGGAAAATTTATGATGGGTTTGAGAAATGAGACTAGCAAAACGACTCGAGCGTCCAATTTAGTAAAAAGGGTGTCTGGCCGTAAAGCGATGGATATTTGCAATAAGCAAAACGGTGTTATAGAAGCAGAATATGAAATCTGCCATTTGCATATCTGTGCTCAAATTTAGTGAGAACGTCAAAAGAACAGCACTGACATCTGACAGCGTAGGCCATAAGCAGAAAGCCGACAAGGTTTTAAAAAAAGGGATTCCCAGAATATATTATGTGTCAATGTTCTCTCCCACTTTCTTTCTTACACCGCTGCAAGAAAGCTAAAGATCCGTGAATGACGGGGAACCTCGGATTGAGATATAAACCATTCGCACCCCGAAAAAAAAAAGGCTCTTAAGTGAAGAATCAGATGGCGAAGGAGAAACCCCTTGGTAATCACTGATGAACCCAGCGAGGCCTTTGTTGAAAATCTCATGATTGCTCGAAAAAATCCCCCATACCAAATACCGTAGTCTTCCCGCTTTAATACTCATTTTGTGCGATTGCACCACTTTCAGGTCCTGGGCATACCTCACACGACTTCAGTCGCGACGAGATTTGGTAATACTCCAGTTGTTCATAACTCATCGTAAGGGGTTCTTGAGTGTATTGGAGATAGGGCGTTCTATCAACCTACGGAAGTCATATATGCTGTTTTTATGAGGTCTGCAGGTATTGAATTTGGAGACACCTGGCAAATTGTCAATCGCGTGGCGACTGAAATCGCGTGAAGTATGTTCAGAATCTTGCAGTCTTTAGCGGTGAAAAAAAAACGATATAACCATGAAAAAGTAATTGATAAAGAATACAGCAAATTAGAGAAAAAGTATCGTACTATTTGATGCAGTCGCCAGCAATTCCAAAAGTGCAATTACACAATGCAATTGTTCAAATGAGGATTACTGTTCTAGGCTTGTAAGTACATCGAACTATTCACATTATTACATTGCTATCCTGGCTCTGTAGTAATATGGCTTTCTATTGGATAACTACTTCAGGGACAATTTTATCTAAAGCCATTATCCTTACCAGGGCTCGGCGCAGGTGGCTTATAAACGAGCTGGATCATCTTTGGAACAAAAAGCGAAGGGGATATCGTTTTTACGGTCTGAATAAACACAAGTTGGGTGTTGTGTTTCTTTTTAGTCGGCGTTTCCTGGGTCAAAGAGGACACCGTAATATTTCGCAAAAGTCACAGGGGGCTTCGTTTTTGCATATTTGGAAAGCCACCTCGTACCGAGCCCTGATCTTACACAACTACAACCTCAGATTCATAGATTTGCAAGAAAACCTCGAGTAATGGTCTCGCCTTATTAATTTTTATGTTCTGCTAATTCTGGATGTTAATATTTAGTACTATTTCCTCAGCTATACTGGCCGACCCGTTAAACCGAAATACGTAAATGAACAGCTTTTCTGAACAATTATTGCGCAAACCCCATCTTCTATAATTTTTCAGGCTTTTTAATGACGTCTACGCGCTTAATTGCGGCTTGAAGTGATGTACTCCATTTCTGTAATCTGACCCCCTGAGATACGAAAACACTCAAGCTTGCATTCTCACACGAAACCACGGCAGCCGATGAAGGGGACGAGGAGAAGGGCTAAACAGTGCTTGTCGCGAGTTGATTGCCCCCACTCACTGCATGCATAAAGCGGGTGATGACATCGCGCACGTTTTTTCCTCTGGAAGCGAAGGGACTTCCGGTGCAAATCAGAGCCCCGCGAGCCGTTGGGAACAAAGACGCCAAAATGCAGAAAACCCCTCTCCCCTTCCTGGCCTTCTTAAGTACAAATCTTTCTGCGGTTGTGCTCCATGGGAGGTGCAAGACGATATTAGTGTATGTGCTCATAGATTTAACTTCAATATAGCGGTTCTTGCACTGCCGACAACATTTGCGCGTCAACAGTGGCAATAGGGGCTCTATGTCTATTTTTCGCGCGCAAGTCGAAAACAAGTTATATCTTTAGCACGATTTTTTTTTCAAAAAATGTTGCCTTCAGCAAGGAGTCACTACATTAATGGTCAAACCTGGAAGACGGTTGAGTCATTTGTAAGTCAAATTGTGTAATGCATATCAGACGTGGTATTTGACGTTTATGTGCTTATTAGTCGCATAATCTCGAGACCTTCTCTTTTCTTCTGATTTTTCTCAATACGAGCAGGTATGTAAATGGCCATTTCAGTGGGATATTCCACCAAGCTTTTTATTGGCCTTGAGAGTTTCGTGTAGTGTGACGGATTGTGTGCAATCTCCCGCATCAAAATACAAATGGCTTTACTATACTGCTTCAGCCTCGCTTCTATGATATCACAGTGAATAGGCTTAAAGGAAATGAGCCCTAAAGAGTCCGCTGCGCAGTTAGTCAGCCAATGGTTTGCTAGGCAAAAGCCGAGGAAAGTGAAACAAAATGCTATATTGATAAGAATTTTCCGTCAAGACTCAATTTGCGTAGCTTTTTTGGCAAAGGTCTTCGTTTTTTGCGCAAAATCAAACAAAGCTCTTTTCGTCGCTACTGATGCCAGCTTCCGGCTGCAGAGTTCCTTAGGCTTCACCGAACACTAAGACAATAGCTGCGACCCATAGTAAGCTTCTTTACACACAACTTAGCAAACCTTTAGACTTAGACATTGCAGTGATTCCATCTTCCCCCCCCCCCCTCCGTCCATAGATCATAAAATAGCAGAGCCATTCTACTGCCAAAAGTCTCACAGGAAGTTTAAGAGCAGGAAAAGCCGTTAGCTAGAGAAATGCGCAGCAAAAACTCCCATTGTGGTAAAACATAGACTTTGCAAATTTTTTGGGTGGTGTAGTGAGCCCAAAGTTAGCAGCAAATGATTCAGTGGCGCATATCATTTTTAATAAAAACTATGTGTGATTTTATGGAATGCAAGCCCTGCAAAAATTACCGGTTGGGTTCACCAAATTATATACGTAGAAAGAATTCTATATAAACTCCTAAAAACTATGAAGTTCTCATTTTCTAAGGGAATCCTAGGCGAATCTTCGTTTCACCGCACATTCGCAAAAAAAGAGAAGAAATTTTGACTGCTAGGATGAGATACACATGAGAAGTAATAAGCAATATCATGATTCAGGAAATAGTAAATGGAAAATTGTGTTGTATAAAGCACATAATACTAAGAGGAAGATATACGGTACATGATAAAGGCTCTAAAAGCGATACCCGAAGGGCATCAACTGATTAGAAAAAAAGAATTTTGAGCTTTTGCCATAAGTAAGTGAAAAATCAGATCATTCAAAAGTGTTAACTATTTGTTTTCAACATCTGAGGTAAAAAGCAACGAAGAATTGAAATGTTATAGGAAATTTGTGAAAGGAGCTTCAAAGCACTCACCATTTGGAGCTTTTAATGGAGCTGGCCGCCGTGCTCAACGGCATCAGTAGCAGCTGAACGGTGCCCTGATGTTGATGCTGTAAATAGCGTACATGCATGGCGTAGAAGAAGAGAATAACGAAGACGAATCGGGTACGACGAGTGCGGGGTCAACGGCTGGGCACGGGCATAGCATCAGAGCGAGACGGGGGGCGCTGTACCCGTGGTGGATTTGACTGGGCGGGTCCAACAGAAGTAAGTGCGGGGCGGCGTGAAGCAGCAGTAGAAGAAGCAACTTCAGCCGGGTGGTGGGAGAACAACAGCTAGCCCCGGGGGCGGGGCTACTCGTCCCCATCCACATCGATCGCCGGCGGCGCAAAATTAAAATATCCAAATAAAGAGATGAGCTGCTGGTCCTGGCAAACGCTCCCTCGGGGCTTGACACCCACCACCACCGATGCCGAAGCGTGGGGGCCAGGCCCACTTAATTTGGGAGGGGAGGGGGATCGCAAATATTTCGTGAGTGAAGCGAAGCGCTGAGGGAGTGAGTGCTTCGTCGCCGTTGTTTGACGGAGAGGGCCAGATAATTGGAAGCTAAAGTGCAAAAGCGCAATGAGGGCGGAAATTGAGTAACCCTAAACCAGAAGAAAATGTGCAGAGAAGAAGAATAGAGAAGAAACGAAGAGTACCCGAATAGTTAGAATAAATTCAACAAAATTCCAGTGATTCTTGACTTGTCAGGAGAAAATGGAAAACTATAGAATTTGAAGAGTCTGAAATTCAGCCGTTCACAAAAAGAACATTGCGCGAGAAGAACATATGGCACGAAATGAAGATCGAATCCAATATCTCCGATGAAAAAGGAACGTCGGAGAGTGGATGCATGAATAATTCCGAAATTAGCAATTATATAGCTCTCGCACAGCTTGATATTCTAGAATTTTGCATCCTTACCCACAAAGAACCGTTGCTTTCCCGCTCCCTCTTTCAAGAAGGAATAGATCAGTTCTGAAAGCTTGATTGTTTCGGTTTCTTGTACTTCTTCGGAAACTACATATATGCATATGAACACTGTGAATCGTAACCTTACATGATGAATTTTCAGATAAATTACTCGTAGAAATGTATATTCTAGAAATCCATTTGAAAATTCTATTTCCATTTTTTTCCAATTTCAGTTTCATCTGGCTCTAACGTAATAGCATGTTGAGTTCATGTGGTTTTCAAGCCAGAAAGTAATCGTTCAAGTTCTTGGTGGTTTCTAAGCTCATTCGCTAAATTGAATTTTCCAACATAATTGCACATATTCTTCACTGCAATTCTGAGTGCATGTGTACTTGAGAGAATGCATAATGGGAAGAAGTATAACCAAATGAGCTGCATAATTCATGCACGGAAATAAGCATAATGGAGGAAAAAAGTCGAGAGCTCGCGAGCATTAGATAAAATTTCTAGCCATGCAATAACAGATAATGGTTAGCGCAGCTCGGTTTTTGGGAGTGGAAGGCCGATTCTTCATGATAGTAAATAAATTTTTAAGAAATATAGAGCTGGGAATGCAGCAGATGCGCATACATTTATTTACATATGTTAGATGCTGGAGTGAATGAGAAATGCATAAAATGAAAGTGGGAATTCTTAGAGGATCATGTGCTCAGCGCAAATTCTTGGTATGTATTAGGAGATCTTGCGCAATGAAGTGCGGATGTAAATGATTGAATTTATTTTTTAGTGACAAATTCTGTATCAACACACAATTAACGACCTATGCTCATACATATGCATATGCTCATGCTCTTCTCAGTTATTTGGCAACAAACACGCAAAGATCTTTAATTTAGGAAAAATTAATAGATAAGCGAATATAATTTTTGCATGTTCTTATGGAGCTCAATCAGAAAATAACAGCCTTCGCTCGGAAAGATACGAGTAGCAAACAGTTGAGTTATACCTGTAGGTCCCCTCATTTTCAAACCTGGTCTTTTGGCTATATTCATTTTGCATGACACAATAAAAACTAGAAATGAACACTCAAATCATAATTTTTCCAGAAACTGTCTTTTTACTTCTTTGTTCTTTCTATCTTCAATGTTGCGATGTTTAATAGTCTTTGTTGGCTGTATGCTTACTGTATTTTCCTCCAGACCAAAGCTGATAGCTCGAAGACAACGGACCCAAGGCAGAAAAATGCTTATAGCTTGCATGTTCTTGCTAGACAAAAACACAGGTATAAAGTTCTTCCTTCATTGCAATTACAAATTACACCCACCACTAGCCAGCTGTTCTGATACAGAAAGTCATCAACTTTTTCATCAAAAAAGCGTGCAGTATGTACAATTCGATTGTAAGTAATGACTGCGAGAAACTGAAAACCTTCTTAGCTTAGCTTATGGGAGAAAAATAGCGTTCGAATTTGAAGGGAGAGAACTGTAGCCTAAGCATGCGATATTTTCGACTCATCACTACCACATGATTGGAGCAATAATTTTTAATCAGTTTTAAAAAGCATTATCACCTGCGAAAAAAGGTTCCAGTGAAATGAAGCTTTTCGAAATTACTTTAAACCCTCTGTAATCCATGATGATTTATCCAGAAGTGTCCATTACTCAGCGGCAACGAAATAACAATCACTCAGGAGCTTTACTTGTTGTAGGGAAAGGACTTGCCCTGAGCACCGACTTTTCGGAATTGCGTACGTAATATTGAAAGAGAGTACTACGTCTAACTTTTCAAATTTTAATTTGAAATGGAGATAGCGTGTGGGGTCAACTCAAATTATCAGGCTGTCTCGAAAGTCAACTCTTTCTTCTATCTAAATCAAAATCTCTTTATCTTTAGCACATTCGGGGTACTATACGGTAGAGCGAAGCAAGATGCACAAAATGATTACCGAAATCTACCTAAGTCGTTACGCAGGTGATGTTAGCCAAAAACCTAGAACTCTTTAGATATGTACCTTCAAAATCGGATCTTCTTCCAGAAGTATCCTAAGAACTTCGTTGGTGTTACTAATAAGGCACATCATAGTATTCATGTTGTGTTTCCACGGCTCAAGACCAATAAACATAAACAGCTTGAAAGTGCAAAAATGCTACTTTTCTCGACTTTTGATGTTAAGCTTAGTATGTCTCGACTATTAGAGCAGATAAAGATGTACAGGGTGTCCCAAAAAAATGTGCCTACTGTTTAATTGTAAATAACTCTCTTGTAATGAAGTGTTTCGAGAAGCTTTAGGTACCGTTTTGTAGAGCGAGGTTGAACTTAGATTTACAGTATGGAACGAATCATCGATCGCTCTTCATTACTGTAAGATTACGGTATGAACTTCCAGCATATGGAACCATTGTGAAATATACCATTTAACAAAATTTTTTTCAAAAAATCTGAAAAATCGTATACTAGGGTTTTCGCGCATGCTGATTCCACTTAACAACTTTTTACGAGTGTTTTCAGGTTTTTTGACGGTGTAATTACATTTCTGACAAATGCAAGGAATTGATTTATCACGATTTACCGGCGATAACTTAGGAAAGAAGCATCACAGTAAAATGGGAATTTCAAATTCGAGATCAGCGGCTCAAATTAACGTAGTGTAAAAGTTTTTGGCTTGTTTGGTTTTGTTCTGAGGCAGAATATAGCCCCCAATGACATAAAATCCTTGTCGAAGTTCGTACCGTAATCCTACAGTAATGAAGAGCGATAGATGATTCGCTCCCATAATGCAAATCTAAGTTCAAGCTCGCTTTACAAAACGGTACCTAAAAATCCTCGAAACACTTCATTACAAAAGAGTTATTTACAATCAAACAGTAGGCACATTTTTTTGGGACACCCTGTATAATTCTACCATTATCCTTACTAAGACTTTAAGTAAACAATTACATATGCGAACGGAGCTGGGGGCAAAATTTGCCATTTTCTACCTTTTCTCTCGATTTCTATGCGCAAAAAAAATCTAGCAAATGTTTTCATGAAGACTGCTATGTACATATCTTCTATATGATTATCAGTTTAGAGTTTGTAGATTTTTTTCCAGAAAATCCAAACTCATGTTACATAATTTTTTCTCCGACTTCAAACTCTCTATGGCTCACAATTTGAGAGGTTCTCCGGTGGTCATTCTGTATGGATTGTATCGAACGGTATCCTAAGTTTGCTAGGAAAAACAAAACAGTTTGATTTATTCAAACAGGGCAATTTCGGCAATTAAATCTTATGGGGCTATAGCCGACCAACTCAGATCATTTAGCATCCCGCAGTTTTGTTCCTTTAGTTTTGAAGAAAAGATCATATTTATCGTTTACTACACGTATGAATTCAGAATAGAATTTTGTAATTTAATATTTTACATATGCACTGTGCATACTTTATTGTTCACTATTCATTATATGTACATACTAACTTGCTAAATTACAATTGTTATTCACTACTATCCACTATCCACTTGATATTTACTCCTTGAAGTGTTGGATGACCTAGAATTTCAAGCTTCGGTTTTTGAAAGAAATTCGATGCAGTTATTGCCTACACAGTTCTGCAAAAGTAGCCTGAAAATATTCTGAAATCCATAAAAGAAACTCGTGGAAATGCTAAAACAGTGCTGCACTGCACAACTTCTGCTCTATCTCTCATCAAAGACCAAATCTCTGAAATGTTTGCAACGAAAATTTCGAGCGTTCAAAAGTCTTGGGCAAGCGATAAGTGGGTCTAAAAATTCGCCGATTTTTTGAGCGATAATCAAAATCAGCTTGAAAGTAAAACTGCTACAAAGCGGTTCAAATTTGCGTCCAGTATGTTCGCAGTATTCGCTGTTCTTGTTTTGTGTATTACGCGAGGGTCCCAGAGGCACATTTCAAAACCATACTTTGGCTGAAGTTTGTAGGCACCAAAGATGTTTCCTTAAAGAAGTTTTTGTTTATTATTTCTATTCTGTGACACCTTTTTAGGTTACATGAAATATCAGAGGTATTTTTTCATCCTCTGCTGTGTTATCTCCATAACGCCTGAATGCATTCGCTTGGAACGTTGGAGCAATTTGCATAGAAGGCTTTCAATTGAACAAAAGAAAATGTCGAAAAAAAGTCAATGTAGTTGAGCACTGAAGTTCTATAGAAGAATG